ACCCAGGGCTGAGTCTTGCATGGCTGGGGTGGTTCCACACCCCCCTCACTGGCCTTGTTTCCTTCACTAAGCAATAGCTGACTGTGAAGCAGTTAAGGAGTCTATGCTATTGCTTCCCACAGAGCTCTTCCAAAGTAAATCCTAAGTGTGCTGTGTGTGGGTTTTTGTTTTTGTTTTCCTCCTGATGGTTTGCTTTTAATCAAGCCTTTCCTTAAGAAGGTCATCTGCCAAATAACCAGTCCTTTTCTTTTTTTTTTGAAGTAGCAATTATAAATCGTCTTTTAAACATAAAGGAATATTACATTGGTGCTTACAGTTCACTTACTCGAAGTCAAATTTCTAGCTTCAACCTTGCTCTCTTCGTCATGTTTCAGTTTAGCTGCACAGCAGCTTCATAATTTTCATTCTCAAGTGCTCTACCACAGTTTCAGCAGGGTGGTGCTGATGTTAGATTTCAGCTGGAGTTGGTATTCCCTTTTGACTGCAATGATATTGTTGCAAAAAATCTGGCATTGCCTCCTTTCTTTTGCCAGATTTCCATGTTAAGCTGAAAAGTCTTCCTCTGAAGACTTCCTCCCATTTTTGTAGGGAAATAGAGAAATACCAGGGACTTTTTTTTTTTCTTGTCTGTGTTGCAGATACAGTCAAGATATGTTTGCTGGGCCAACAGGGCAAGGCCAATTCTATTTTTCATTTACAAGGCACTTTACTTCCAGACAGCTAAAAATACATGAGCTGCTCAGTGTTTCTGCAGTTCTTTCTTTCATTTTAAAGCTAAATACAGATCAAAAGAATTAAATCAAATGAGGGGCTTGAGGTAAAAAGTAAGTTTTGTCTAGCTAAATGAAAAAGTTACTTGCAGCAGTGTCAGTGGGATTTTTTACTGCAAATAGGGCTTATTTTGCAAGGCTACCCAAAGTTATTTTTGGCAAAAAGCATGCTAGATACCATGGTAAAGAACGTTCTTCTATGTAATGTTTTGTGCTATAGTAACACGTGATTTAAACGTAAGTCTTTGGATAGAAAGCATATGTAAAATTGATCTGTCTGTGGCGACTTTGCTTTTGAAATTGAAGTTCTTGTGAGATCAGAAGCTTGGACTTAGCTATATTAATAGAAAGCTAAGTTTTCATTTACTCTCACCAGCAAGAAAAATAATTTTGTGTGTATGCAACAGAAGAGATTCCGTTGTGCCCTAGAAAGGTTTAAGTTAATTCCTGGTCTAAATCTTTTACTGAATAGAGATCTTCTCTGATAGTGTTTATCCTTCTTTTTGTAAGAGCTGTGCAGTCCCTTTGGCTGGTGAAGGCATTTCTGATTCGATATCCAAGTGTGCACTTAATCCAAAGGCACTCAACTTGTAAGCCTCTGTACAAAATAGGCAGTCTAAACAAATGCATATGGCTGCACATGAAGGTAGACTGATTGCCAAGCTAGATTTTGTTCAGGCAACAGTATGTGTTTGTTACAAGGTCCACTGACCTGGCAACAGATGGCCAACTGAGCCTTTGATATTTTGTGGTGTCCTGGAGCCCAAGAACTGTTCTGAGAAGTTTATAAAGTGTAGAGGGCAATGAAAGCTGTGAAGGATTCAAGTGACTACATAGCCTTAGTGATGCTGTTCTGTGGTCTTGGTTGAAGAGTAATACAGGAAGGTACTTTTTTTTTTTTTTTTTTTTTTTTTTTTGGGAGAGGGTATTTCCTGAATTTCTCATAGAAATTCAGCCTGAAAGCTGAAATATAGCAGATTAATTTGTGGGATATTAACTTCTCTGGCTGGTTTATGAAATACAAATTCTTCCTCCATCACAGGGTGAGGGCTAAGTGAAAATCTATCATCATTGTTATGCAGGAGACTCAAATGAGGATTACAGTTGCTTATCTCTGACTTTACTCTGTGAATCCTTTTCGTTCCTCTCTCCTTTGTTAGCTCCATCTCCTCCTTCCTATAAACGTGTACAACAGGTCTGTCTTTGGGAACCAGTAAATGGAAGTCTTCATTGCCAGTTACAGAGTGAAAATTCTCAAGGCTGAAGTGGAACAGTTCCAGGCTGAAACTGAGTGATATGACTAGTACAAGAATTGAGAAGGTGACTGAGTGATGTTTATTATATCTGAGGTGTGGATGAGAGGATTTGATCAGCTCTTTTAATACTTCTGTGACTTGGTGTGCTCCGAGGGATATAATAGTGGATTGAGCTGCACAGATGTTAGCAGCTAGGCACCCGCTTTTAGTTTAGCTGCCTTTAGATTACGAAGCTTTTACTTAAAATCACATTTCTTCCAAACTGTCACACTGTTAACTGTCAAAAAAAAAAAAAAAAAAAAAAACCCAACCCAAAACAAAACAAAAAAACATAGACAGAAAGCAAGCAAACCGAAACAGAAAAATCCAGAAGACTTAGCAACAACCCAAAGCAGACTTTTACCCATTGCTTTCAGATGTGGATTCTTCAAAGGCTTGCTGTGAGTTAAGCTCATGTCTTTTGAGTCATTTCTTTAGCATAACAGAAAAATTGTTGTGACGAGGCATTCATTTTGGAGCTTCTGCTAGTGAGTATCCAGGAGAGATAACCTCGGGGGCTAGTAAATAAAAATAACCCTCTAGCAAAAGTTACCGTTTCTTTTCTTTTTTGATATTTTCATTAAATGGATTTTTGTGAGTGCTCTTTTGTCGTAACAAGAAGTCATCCTCAGCCCAAACTCAGATGATCTTTAAAACTCAGTAGATCATTAACTGGCTCCTTAGGGCCCTTGGCATGTGACTCAGAGTGCGCTATGCGGACGTGGTTCTTGAGTAACTTTCCACTGCGCTATTTGCCCTAACAGTAAAAGGCCCATTTAAGTGAACTTCTTTGGAAGAATTGTTCTATGTGAATTGTGCCACTTCTGAAATGCTAATCAAATTGATGCTTTAATAGCCATTAAGCAGTTCAAACTGCTTGACCGGCTGGGGCATTCTAGTCATGAGGAGGAAGTGCAGTTCTCAGAAAGACGAGAAGGCTGGTGACAGTTCCCTAGCTAGTGAGGGCTGTCATGGGGGGGGCTGTGCTATTATCACTCTATGTGCATGTAGTAAAAAAGGAAACAAAGCCAAAATACAGTTATGAGCAGTTTTTCCTGATGGAAACTGTAAGAACAGAAACAAATTAATTACAGTTGCTGCTACTGTTTGTTTTAGCTTGCTTGTAAGGTGACTTTCCTGTTTAAAAGGCTGGGAATAAACTTGAATTTCTAAAGGAATATAAGAAGTGCTAAAATTAGAAAATTATTAATCCTCTTAAGAGAAGGTTCCTATTTTAGAAGGTAGGTGACATGGCTACAATTTTAGGGCAAAATCTTTTACCTGTTTCATATTTGACCATGTCTTCTGAAACCCATGCAGCAGAACTTATTTATGGTGTACCAGTTATTTTTGGTTTAGCTATTATATTTAAAGAGAAGGAAGAAGTAGGCAAAGAAATCAGGTTATAGCTGTTTTCCATTAGATGAATTAATATTCTTCAGTTAGAGGATGTACTGAACGGCACCAGCTCTCTCAGCTTGTCCTCATAGGAGGGGTGTTCCATCCCTTGAAATCATTTTGGTTACCGTTACTGTAGCAATAAATAACACTTATTCAATTGTTCTGTGCCCTTGTTAGTAATAGATGGAAGCAGTCAATACGTCTTAACTGATCCTAACCTCTCTGCAGAATAATGACAGTGTAATGTAAATAAGAGAAAAACAGAATGCAGTTGTACACCTATCATTTTCATACACTTTTTAATGTAAGAATTCATGAGTGAGTTCATCAGTATTTCAGCTGAGCATGGGCGTCTCTGAAGCACAGAGGAATGGTTGCAATTTTCTTTTTCTTGAACCTGCAAAGAACAGGCAAATAGGGAACCAAAACTTACCATTCATTTTCCTAACAGTTCTTTTGAATATAGTCAGCCGGTAAGAATTATTTTTGGTGTGTCCATGATGCCGAGTTAAGAAACACTACACCTGTAAGCTCCAAAGGGGCTGCACAAATCCTTCCCACTGCAACCAGAGCCTTTCCTTGGCAGCATCTCCAAGCTGCCGTGCTGATTCTTGATGCGAGGGCAAGGTGCACTCAGGACTGTTCAGCCTTCTCTCTTGCAGCAGATCAACTAATAAGCCCCAGGTTACAGGGAGGGAGCCCAACTCTGAGCTGTTGCTTAGATGCAATCACACCTTGAACATTCTTAACTTGCCATCTCTGAATGCCTCAGGGTGACTGTGGCTGTAAAGCCTCATGTGCTGACTTTCTAATGCTGGACCTCATGTTCTAAGTCATTAAAGTGTGAAAAGAGCTTAGTAAAGGCCAGACACCGATAATGGTGCCTTTCTGCTCTTGCAGAAAGTGAAGGTGTTTTTTTTTTTCTGGTAGTTGCAAACTAGAATTCACACAGCAGTCAATGGCTGCTGTGCAGAAAGGTAGCTTTACAGGCCTAAAATGATTTGTTTTTATAGAGTGGGGATGTTTGCAGGATATTTGGAACCTCAGACTCCATCAGAATTTGACGTGTTTGTCCTTTAAGTCAAAAACATGGAGCATAGAATCATAGAATATCTCAGGTTGGAAGGGTCCAATAAGGATCATTGTATCCAGTCCATGTGGAGATTTATGGGATGAGGGTGACTCTTTTTGCCCTTTTAAGTCTTTCTTTAATATGAGACAGATACTTGACGTAGCAATTAGAATAAGATACATTTGGAGATGCAGTAGGCTTTTCCCAGTCATGTACTACATTGAGATCTCTTCCTTGGCTGTTTGGTTTTGGTGAGTTTTCTTCAGAATTATTGAATTATTTTCCTTTGTTCTTTGTGCACATAACCAACGCAGCTGTTATTTTCTTCTTCCCTGCGTAACTCTTTCTACTTTACAAGATGAAAGTGAAACCCTTTGGGTATTAAGATCTGTACTTTCCAATGTTTAAATTATGTTCTTTTTTGGCCAAGATATCCATAACTTAATAACTTAAATAGTAGCTCCTGAAGTAGGACGCAGTTCACACCTCAAACATTAATTAATTTCTGAGCAATGAGAGCTAACAAAATAAATGTGTCTTGATTTTCAGTAGAGCTTGAGGTCTGTTGTGTTCTGAAGCTTCCACGTACACAATTATGTTCTATAATATAACACTGTGAATGTATTCTGCTAGGTGAAGGCGGAGCTTAAATGAATGTTCTGGTTACTCAGTGTTCAGTGGCATCATGTTTTTGTTCTGCTTTGTTTTTTTTCTTCCCCAAAGACTTTTATTCTGTAGGGAATTTTGTCTGGGAGCAAACCCAAATGTTGGCATTTCAAATGGATTTGGAAGTCATGTATTCGGACAGCTTCTGGGTATGTAAAAATTGAGCTATCTGGTGTTTTCAGACTTATTTGTTTCCACTAATTCCTGCTTATGTCCTCCATGTTAATCCTTTGTGATGGAGAGCTTTACTTTTATCCCCAGGTAACCACAAGCACAGTCCAGTTCATCTTAATAAGGATCCTGACTTTAAGGGAGAGATGATAAAGCTGCCTAGAAGGAATAAATTTCACTTCTTGTTCAATACTGAAGGACTTCATCAGTGTTAGAACTCTGCAGTCCAGGTCATTTGTGGGTAGGGGAATTTTCCTGAAACCTTCAAGGACATTATTGCTTGTTTTCTGATAGTCTGCACGTAGCTTGGTGTACATGCACAAACACAGATCTCAGTTTCCCCTAATGTCATGTAAAGGGTCCTAACTTTATTGCTCTATCTGCAAACAGAAGGAAACTTGTTTCTTGGGAAGGATCTTCTTTGTCTAGACTTGTGATCACACGGATGGTCCTGCTGAAGCAACTCAGTGGCATCAGCCTCACCCTTTGGACCTCCCTCTCACTGCAGCTGAATCCTCACTTCTTTCTGGTGCTGTTCTCTGAGCTGTCTTGTGGGTATCATATTTTCTCTTTTTTCTTCTTTTTTTCCTATCTTGGCCATCTCCTTAGGGCACAATTCCTTTCTCACTTTGTACGTGCTCGGATTCACACCCTCCTTGAAAAAAGAATTAGAAATCAAAAGAGAAAGTGTAGCAGATACTGTATGTTTGTGTTATTTCCTCTTGACTTCTACTTGGATTATAATCCTGCTTAAACAACAGTGAAAAGCCTTGAAAGAGATCTGGTCCTATGGACTCTCTCCAAAACTGTCGTGACAATTGTGCACTCTTGTTAATTTTAAGTATAGTACTCATGTGCTTCTACCTTTCCACTTCAGAACTCAGCCTCCTTTCAGACTTTGACATCAGAATAACATCATCACTGTTTTTCAGTGCTTTCTGGAAGACCTTTTTTTTAGCTGTTTCGTATTTGTGTTGTTTTATTCCCTCAAGAGGGAAAGGCTGCTTTGCATTCTTCTCTGTGCTCAATACTGAGAGATTTAGAACTCGTTCTTCCAGTGGAGGATTTCTTGGAACTATGTGTGGGAAGTTGCATTGCTTTAGGAGGTGAAGTTTAAACCTTTGAAGAGGTAGTAGGTGAGAAACGGGTTCAGATCTGTCTGGAGGATATCTTCTGCCCTCCCAAACATCAGCAGCACTTCAGAGACTGCTTGGGCTCTCACCCAAGGAACAGCAGGCAGGGTGCTGCGGGAGGCTGGCTGACCAAGCTTGGGCATCCACCTTTGCTCAAGCAGTCTTTAAATTGAGCCTTGCTCATTTCTCAGCCCCGCCTCTTTCAAGATCTGCTTTTCTCTTCTTTCTCCCACAGGATCCTTATGAACTTTGTGTTACTGAGTCTGGATTTTGAGCTCCTTGGCTGCACTGCTCTGGGGGTGTGATGCCTCTACCACACATAATTGCTGGAAGAGCCTCTGAAATACAAATGGCACTGCGGATAATTATATGCCCATCGGGGTTGTTAAACTGATATAAATAAGGCAAAATGTGAAAATGAAAAATGGAAATTAATTTTAGTTGCTTGGCTTTAAAATCTTCCCTAGTATTCCTTTGTGGTTGATTTGGTTGTACTGCAATTCTTCTGACTGTAAATCATTTTATATAGTTCTGCCTCTCTTTTCTTTTGCTTTTCTTTTTCTGCAGTAGTGAAATTGCTTAATTCTTGGAGTCAGTGTTTACTGTTTAGGTGAGGAGACTGTGTAAAAAGACACCTTGTTGGAGTGAGACCCATTGGTTCCAGACCAAGAAATAACTGACCCTAGGAAAGGGGTGGCTGACTGCTTCAGTAGGGGATTTGGACTTCATGATTCCCAAAGGTCCGTTCTAATTCCGACAATTCTGTGACTGTGCATTAAGATATTTCATGTTAAGGTCTGATGCTATTTTGGCTTTTATTATATTGACTGGCACCTTGAGGAATAGCTGAGGCAGTAATTTAAGTGCTTTGGGCAGTTCTGGGGACATTCTGCCTATAGGGGTGTTCCAGCCTAAGTGCTACAAGTGATGTGTACAAGGAGACTGCAGCAGAAGCGAGTTATGCATTTTTCTGCATGTTTATGTGGATAGTGCTGTGTGGGTGAGTGAGAAAGACTGCCCATAATTCCTCTGATATAATTAATCCCTTATGCAAAGCAAATTCTTCCTTTTGCTTTTTTCCCTCCTTTTCAACAATACGTTAGTTGTAGAAACAGTCAGTCTGTAGTTAAAGTGTAATTGTGTCATAGTTTGTATTATGCTGTGCAAGATTAGATTAGCATACAAATTCTATAAAACAAGCAGTAGGATTGTTCTGCTGTTCAGTTGCTGCAGCAAATGATTTTGGGGGCTGGATTTTATAGCTTAAGCGATTCAAGTGGGAGAATAGGGAGAATATATGTTCCATTGTGGCTTCCAGACCACAGTATAATCGGGATTTTAGGGAAAACTAAGTAGGTCATGGCACAAACTTCTGCTGAAAAATGGCAGGCTTCTAAAGACAGCTGTAGTGCGACTGCACACTACGCACAGATGTGGACATGGCATTAGAGCGAAAAGTGGGAGCAGTGATCTCTGCTACACCCCTATCTTCCTCACCCTTACCAAGCAAGAGCATCTCTTTTCCTTTTTGCCCTCTTTTCTTGTTTCCACTTTTCTGATTAAAGAATTTCTTTTTGCTGGAGGAAAACAAATCAGAAGTTACACAAAATTGCCCAGATGCAGTTCTCCATAAACTTTGCCTAATGCTTTCCTGAAGGCCGTTCATTGAACTTTTGACCGCTGAAATGTCGTGTGACAGTTATTTCCTATTATTCACCATGTAAGGAAGTATTTTAAAGTATTTTAACTGCGTGCATGCTTTTTTGATGGGAGATCCTCATTTCTTTTATGCTACGAGAAAGGAATGGAGACTACACATGAATCTACGGACATCCATTTATACTCTTTTTCAGTCATTCACCAGCCTGAAAGATCCCACTGTTTTTATTCACACAACTGTTTTTGTATTTCTGAGTATCTTTAGCATCTTTATGACTCTTTATGTTTTCCTAATGTACGCTGGCCTGTGTTTTTCAGCATGAATTTCTACCTTTCCCATTCAGCAGTCACTTGCAATGATTTTGCGATGCTGTTGCTCTCAGTAATCAGTAGCTTCCTGCAGAAAAAAAAAAAAAAAGTAACCAAACAATTTCCAGACTTCCTGTAAATGGAGGCCCCGTGTCCAGGTCTTGCTGACACACCAGAAAGCTGTGCTGCCATTCAGCCATGCCTCCTGATTTTTTTATCATCTGCAAACGTGCTGAGTATGCTCTGTCCCTTTATATGGGTCACTGATGGAGATATTAAACAACACTGCAAGAGCCTAAACTCTGCTATCTCATCATTGCTGCAGCCGAGGCTGCCGCCAACTTTCAAAATCTGAGAAGTGAATTGCTAGCTTTGATCCAAGTTTTTTGAACTGAATGTACTTAGAAAGCATGTATCAAGTTTAGTTATGAATTCTAGCAGAATTCAGCACAATAGAACTTATTTTGTGTTTATAATGACTAGATAGGTGAAATGGGACATATGTGGATGTGAGCAGGGTGGTCATTCATGGGGCATAAACTAATGGTTCAATTCTGTTTTTTTTTTTTTCTTCTTGCAATTGTATTTGCTTTTCCACTCTTGCATGGTTGCTCATCTTCAGATTCTGTGCCCTGAATCAGCGTGCATTTTGCTGAGCTGCTCTGTGGCACTGTTGCGCTCTTAAGGAAAAAAAAAAACTTACCATCATGTGGAATTGGCTTGAATTTTCGGAAACTTTTAAACTCTGTTAGTAATGCAGCTTTCTGCACACTAACATTTAAACCTTTTTCAGGCCGGGAACAGTTTCATGGCTTGGGATCGATGTACTGCAGAGGAGCAGCTGCCGTCATCCTGACGTATGACGTGAACAGCCTGCAGAGCCTGGCGGAGCTGGAGGACAGGTTCCTGGCACTGACAGACAGCGCCAGTGCTGACTGCATCTTTGCTATCGTTGGGAATAAAGTGGACCTCAGCGATGACTGTGCTTCGCCACCTGATGAAAACAGACCTGAGAAGGCCGTTGCCGGCTGCAGCTCAAAGGTGCGGAAACAAGTCCGCGTGGAGGATGCGATTGCGCTCTACAAGAAGATACTGAAATACAAAATGCTGGATGAGAAGGATGTTCCAGCAGCTGAGAAAATGTGCTTTGAGACCAGTGCGAAAACAGGATATAAGGTGGACTACCTCTTTGAAACTGTGTTTGACATGGTCGTACCAATAATCGTACGGCAGAAAGCTGAGGGGCCATCGCAGACTGTAGACATTACTGACTACAAACCGGCCAAAAGGACAAAATCTGGGTGTTGTGCCTGAAAGTGATGTGGCAAAAAAAGGGGGAGGGACTGCCCACTGTGGCAAACAGAGGAGCGTTTGCAGCACACCAGAGAGGAAAAAGCAAAGAAAAAATAGACTGTAATGGCTTACAACCCCTAAACAAAACAGAAAAAGCACCACGGAGTTTCCTGAGCATTAAATGTTTCTGAGAAACTCTGTTTATGAGAATGGGAGTGAAATGATGGAGGACGTACCAGTTTCCAAGGGCTTTGAAGGCAACTTCTGTTGGTACATTTGATAGTGACAATCATTTGAACAGTTTAGAAGAAGTCTTATTTTTTAATGACTCGCCACTTCATGTTACGTGAAAACGATCTATTTGTATAATCTATGCAGCTTTCAAATGGTTATCATCTTTTCCCTTGTGATTCTGACTTTGGAGGATAGAATGCACGGTACCTTTTTTATTCTTAAAAAAAGAAAAGAAAATCCAGGTATAATTTATATATGTAGCTAATAAAGAAATTACTGTCAGGTCCAGCATTGTAAGATTCTGAAGCTGTGCTATTAAAATCACTGTGGATATGTACTGTTAATATGGAGCTTTGTTACTGTGAATTCTAATGTGGGCTTTTTTGTCTCCTGTAGCTCTTTTCTGTGGCTAAAGCAGGAGGAATAGGAAAAGAAACTCTCTGTACAATAGAAAGCACACCAAGGAGTGCTAAAGAGGTGCATGGCATCTCTTCTGCCTGCAGTGAAGAGGAGGGGCTAACACTTCATACTGCTCCTAGGGCTTCCCAACCAGAGTCCCACACAGACACTGAATACTGTACATATTTCCAGTTTTGCAGGTTCTTCTGCAGGGTCTCCTTCATCTTCCTACAGACGCTGCTGGCATGGTTTCTCAAAACTAGAAAGTTAGCTGTTTATCTACCCAGGGCACACAGGGAGACCATTCCCAGATGAATGAGGAACTATATTATTACTGAGTATATATTAAACTTTTTTTTTTTTTTTTTTAACCAATGTATCCTCTTGAGCAGCTTAGCTCTTTCACATCAGGGTGAAGGTGGAAATAGCTTTATTTCCTTGTTGCAAGTGTATTGAAGCATACTTGGTCTTGTTTGTGACCAAAGTGGTCCGTGAAAAGTCTGCCACTGGCTTTGCTGCATCCCTACAGTCTTTCCAAAAGCTCTGACTTAGGTATTTTTTCTGAAAGAGATGCAACAGAACCCATTCTTTGCCCACAGGACTACACTAGTGGAATATACTGTTTATGGTTTTGCTTTGCCAACAATGGGGGACAAGGGAGTGCATGGCAGGACCTAGGAGACCCAGCGGTACATGGAGGCTATTGGTAAGAGCTCAGGAGGGAATCTGGATTGTTCAGACTGCATGCTGGCCCCATTTCTTTGCTGCTTTCTGAAGTCACATTCAAGCAAAACTTGGTTTATGGGACTTGATGTAGGTTTTTTTTTTTTTTTTTAATTAGTAACTTAAGCTCTGCTACAGCTGAGCTGCATTGACAGCACAGTGTTGATGCACACATGTCCTACTTTTTCTCGTCTTAATAACCTCCCCAGCTAACACATCATGTAGAAAAAAGCAACTGCTTCAGGAAGGTGAAAATGGTGCAGGAGAGCTGCTGTCCTGACATGATTTGGCATTTTGCAGTTGCAGTGAGCTGGGATGCCACCAGCATGGAGGCTGCAGTGGGCGCCATGGCTTGTGTTGATGGGTGGAAGCTGCACAGGGAGATTTTTGACACCAGGCAAGTAGAGGCTGAGCTCTCCAGTCAGTCAGAATTCCAATCCCCTGAGTGCTGAGGCAGTACGTGGCTGTGCCCTTTGGGCACGTCTTGGCTGTGTCCCTTCTTAATGCCAGCTCTTCTGTGTCCTGCCAAGTGTTATTACCTTGCCCTCCCAAAGCTGCTTTTCTCATTAACAATTCCAGTGCGTGGTCTTGACTCAGGCCTCTCATGGCTGTGCATGGGTATGCCTCTGCATGAGAGTTGCCAGTGTTGTGTGAAGCTCTGCCTGCCCTGTTGCAGATAAGGAAACTCCTTTTCCAAGTACTTATTGTTCCCTCTTTTCCATGTTATGTTTGTCTAGATTATATGGAGCATGCAGACAGCAAAGCAGATACTGTTTTTGGTGACACCAGGTGATCATGAGCGATGGGCCTGCCTGTACCAGCTGAGCCAGGCTGCCACCTGAGGGGTAGGTCTGGATGGGACAGGCAGTGATGGGTCTGCAGCCAAGGCTGGGCTGTGTCTGCCTGTTTTGGCTTGGCCATGGCCTTCTCCATGTCACAGTGGAAAGCCCAACAATATTCAGGCTGAAAGCAGTGCGAGTGAGCATCCTCGCGCTGGAGCGAGGCAGGGGTAGGGCTGCAGTCTGTTGCCCAGATAAGGTGCAGCCAAACCCATAAAGGGGTGAGCGTGCACCCTGCCTGCTGGCAGCAATTGGATACCGCCTGTTACAGGGGCATGCCTACTGCTGTGCCTTGCCGCTGTTCTATTTCCAGCTGCCTTGGACAAGCCCAATCATGCACTGTGTACTTGGCAGAATTGGTTGATACAGTGAGAAAAACATTGGTGTCACCTGGTTGAATTGCATCGATTTTACTCTGGCTGTGCTGGCGCAGCAGTGCTCTGCTGCCAGAGGAAGGGGTTGTATCTTTGCTGACCTTTCTCCACACTCAGCAGTGTGCTCCACTTCAAGGTATTTTCAAACAGCAGAAGCTTAGGAAACAAAAGCGCTATGTTTAGAACCCTACGTTTCTAAACGGTAAGTGTGTGGATCTGAAGCACATGACATACACAAACAAAATATGAAACTTTGCACATGCATGGCCTGTTTTTTTTCCCCCTCCTCGTTTCTTGACCCATGCCCACGTTTTGACTCATACCGTTCTGCTGTACAATGCTGAGCAAACGGCTTGCGAGTCAGAGAGAGAGAAACGCAACTTTTGGAGAAGGACCCGTCTGCTGAATTCCTCAAAATGAACTAGCTGCAAAAGAAGATTAGGCAATGCATCAGTCATTGAAGTCTTGAGTGCTTAGCTGTTGCTGCTGACACAATAGCTTTCACTGGTTTGTATAACCTCAAATCGAATTCTCGTAAAACCTTTCAGCTGCTGCACTGCAGGCATTGCAAACTGTAAAAATCCTCAGTGATGTAATGTCCGGTTTTCCCACAAGTATGTCTGTCTGGCAAGATCTGGAAGAGGCAAATTGATGACTCTCAGGTGTCTGTCACTGCTGTGTGCAATCTGAAAGGACGGGCAAATGTGGAACAGATTTGGCTGATGCGGATGGCAGCGTTTGCAATTCTAGGGACTGGTTTAGCTGAAAGAAACAGTGGCAGATTTGGTTTGTTTGGAGCCTGCCCTTCATCGCTCCAGTACGATCAGTGAGCTGATTTCAAGCACAGGGAAATTCTCTGTTTGTGGATCTATGTAATTACATGCACAACTAATGTAGGCCAGAAACCCTGCTGGCTGAGAACTTCACCTTCCCTTGCACTTTACATTTTTGGAGAGGTAACACTTGTCAAAGTTGGTCAGTGTTGGTGTCCTGGACATTGGTGAACATGAATAATATCTAGCTTTAATTTGCTGCATCACCATTTATTGACTTAAAATTCCCCTTTGTGACAACAGGTGAAATACCACGTCAGCCTAGAAGAGCAGCTCCTGAACTGCAGGTTTCCTCTCAGAAGGATTTAAGTGCCTCAAAGTGTACTCCTGGTTGAAGAGTTTGAATTTCAGGGGGGCTCTTCATAGCAGTGCCTCTGTTTTGTTATTGCCTTAGATACAAAGCAATTCAAAAGAGCCATCCATATGCATTTTATTTTAGGAAAACAACAACAACAAAACCTGCTAAAAAATTGAAATAATCAACAAATAGAGGTGTATAAAAAAACCATTTATTTATGACACAGTGAGGATGGAATGTAATTACAAAAGCCAATAAGCACCCGAAGCAGGAGTGAACCAGTGACTTTGATATCAGCAATTATTTTTCTCTTTGATTTCAGTTTTTGGTGTTTGGGAATATATAACCAGACTTTGCCAGGAGGAAGAGAGTAATTTGCAACTGATTCTTCCCCCCCCTCTCCTGCAGCAACGACAGACAACTGGATTAAATTGCTTTCTTCTCTAGAAGGGAAGAGCTGGCTATTTGGGGATTTCCCAAGCCTGGCATGCAATGGCACAGTTCTTCATGGGAAGAGATGGTGCCAAATAAATGCCCTGCTTCCTTCCCCTTTGTTTTCATAAGCATGGGCTCCAGCTTTGGAGGTGATGTGGCATCAAGCAATAAGCTGACCTGGAAAGCCTCTCCTACGTGCAACTGCTGCTGCAGCAGCACACGGTCACTACCTGTGGCTGCTTTCAGAGGGGAAGAGCTGCAATTCAAAACCACTTGGTGCTGCTGTGAGTAGCATCACACAGGTGAATGCCCACAACATGGAGGACCTTTGTAATCCCAGCACCATGGAATATCCTGAGTTGGAAGGGAACCACAAGGATCACGTTGACATGGTGGTGCGTTTGACATGGTGGAAGGAAGGGATGCCATTCAAAGGGACCTCAACAGACTTGAAGGGTGGGCCTGGGTGAACCTAATGAGGATCAGCATAGCAAAGTGCAAGGTTCTGAACTTGGGCCAGAGGAATCCCAGGCGTTTATACAGACTGGAAGGAGCAGCCCTTCAGAGCAGCCCTGCAGACAACCTGGGAGTCCTGGTTGATGAAAAATTTGGCATGAGCCAGCAGTGTGCTCTTGCAGCTCGGAAAGCAAATGGTATCCTGGGCCATGGTAACTGGCCCATGATAACTGATAACCATGATAACCATGATAACCCAACTGGCCATGGTAACTGGCCAGCAGATACAGGGAGGTGATTGTCCTTCTCTACTCTGCTCTTGTGAGGCCCCATCTGGAGTACTGTGTCCAGGTCTGGAACCCCCAGTACAAAAAAGACAGAGAGCTGCTGAGAGGGTCCAGAGGAGGGCAACAAAGATGATCAGGGGGCTGGAGCACCTCCCCTATGAGGACAGACTGAGGGAGCTGGGCTTGTTCAGCCTGGAGAAAAGAAGGCTGCAGGGTGACCTCATTGCAGCCCTTCAGTGCCTAAAGGGAGCCTACAAACAGGAGGGGAATCAACTCTTTGAAAGGGTGATAACAGCAGGACGAGGGGAAATGGTTTTAAGTTGAGGGAGAGGAGATTTAGGTTGGATGTCAGGGGGAAGTTCTTTACAGAGAGTGGTGAGGTGCTGGAACAGGCTGCCCAGAGAGGTTGTGGATGCCCCGTCCCTGGAGGTGCTCCAGGCCAGATTGAATGGGGTCCGGGGCAGCCTGGTTAAATGGAGAGGTTGGAGCTTCATGATCCTTGAGGTCCCTTCCAACCCTGGCCATTCTGTGATTCTGTGATCACTGAGTCCAACTCCTGGCTCCATTGGGGAGCACCCAACATTCAAATCCTGTGTCTGAGAGCAGTGTCTGGAGCACATCCAGAAAAAAATGGCCAGACTTGTAAAACAATATGCTGATGATTACCATATAGTCTCCTAACCAACATAGGAAAAGATAGCATTTTGTGGTCACTCAATTGTGGGCTTCTCTATTTTTAGTGACAAAGTGCTAGGAAATTGTGAGCCTTAAAAAAACCCCACAAATACAATGAAAAGCTGATTGCTCTGAGTGTGTTTGAGATGCCTGATCATAAAACAGTCATGGATTTTAATGGTGGATGTAAGCACCTTCCACTGTACAGTGTCAAAATTTTGCAAGGCTTTAACACTCAGCGTGATCACGATGTGTTAATGGTTTGAATTGCAGCTGTTAGTGTTTAGCGTCGTGACAAATACCATAATAGAAGAGATGTATATATTAAAGTAAATGCAGTGGGTATCTGACCACGGTAAGCTTTTATTTCTGAAGTTTTTTGTGCTTCAAAGGCGTGAGTATTTGCAACATCTGTTAGACTAGCAAAAACATATATATGTACTGTATAGCAGAAGAACACAGCACTAGGTCTGTGTGTTAATTTGTGTTACGCTTGTTTTGCTTTTATACACTTTTAAAAATCATCTTTCCGTTCCGCTTTTGAGGTAATAAGTTAAAAAAGCACCAACATGATTTATTCAAATGTCTAAACATCCTAGAAGGTTTCACTGTACAAGTACTAGATGGTAAGCAGGTTCCTTACACTATGAAAGGCTTCTATAAATTTTTCATACAGACTTGACATCTGCTGATATGGCTTCGGATGAGTCCTGCCTTGAGTGTATCTGCCGAGGGCTTGCTTTGGAAGGGCTGGTCAATCGTAGTGAGCCAGAAGCTGTACTTATTGGCAAAGTAATGACAGGTTCCACGTGCCCCATTGCACTCGATGAAAGGAGTAGCCCTGAAATCTTCCAGGCAGCTCCCAGGAGAGACCAGCGACTGTCCTCCACCTTCATCGCCGGCTGCAGTGTGCTAAAGGAGACAAGGAGGGCAACGTTCAGAGCACGACCTCAGACAGTGCCATCAACCCATTATGCGTGAGAAGACAGGAGAAGCACTAGAAGTGCTCCTAATTCTTAAACCCAGAGCGACTGATCCTGCAGCTGTGTAAGACTTAAGGGTTTGACTATGCTTTATACTAAGGAACTATCTCAAGCGTTGATGCCATTTCTGACAAACATCTTTTCTGGAGTTAGGATTCTCCCTGTTGCAAATCTTATAAATGAGGAATCATGAAGGGCCCTTTCAGCGTCACTTCAGCCAGTCCTCTGCTCAAAGCTGCTTTGAGCAGCTTCAAAGTTGCACTGGGTTGTTCCAAGGCACAGACAAGTTGTTGAGATATCTGAGAATGGATTTTTCACCACCTCTATGGGCAACCCTGTTCTTCTGATTTTTTATCACTGAGAAGGATGTTTTTCCATATATCTAACCTGAATTTTCCTCATTATAAAGTCTTATTTATTCCACATAGCCTATAAGAAGTCTATGGAAACAAAGATTTGGCTTCTGTACAAATAACTAGGTTCCCTCTATCAGAATTTCATTAACTGCAAATTGCACCAAGCTTATGCATCTGAAACCACTCAGCTGCTACCTTTGACACAGACAGTAGTAACAAGCTAATGTTACTTGTGTTCTGTCAAAGGAATCTCTGACCAAACAGGCGCTCCTGGTCTGCCTGAGGGCTTACAGCTACAGAAGTGACAGAGTTTAATTTTCTCTTAAAAACGGAAGGAATTTGCAATATAAACGAAAGCAGATGGAAAATACACTTGCTAAATAGTTCTGTAAATGTAGGAAGAAATCTGCTGGGTATGTATGTTTGCCTGCTTATGTTTTAATAAGCACTGTATTATAAAAGCGCCTAACTTTTGTAACATTACTGCCTTGGTTTACACTCAGAGGCCCACTGTGTTCATATCCACAAGAAAGACAAGTGGCCACCTTGGAGTGGAGCGAAGGAGTCTGAGCTGTGGGCAGGGCTGCATGTTGCTGAGGTTTTAGATTTATTTATTCTTTTAAACACAACACGTGGGCTGTGTTACAAATTGCAAGATGATGTACTAAGCTGTAAAGCTTCAGAGTGAAACTGTTCTAGCATCCCTCTAAATAAACAAAGTTGGTAAGTAGAAGGACTGAACTCGGCACTGGTGAGGCCTCACCTCAAGTACTGTGTTCAGTTTTGGGCACCTCAATACAGAAAGGACACTGAGGTGCTGGAGCAGATTCAAAGAAGGGCAACAAGGCTGGTGAAGGGCTTGGAGAATATGGCCTATGAGGAGAGACTGAAGGAACTGGGGCTGTTCAGTCTGGGGAAAAGGAGCTGAGGGGAGACCTTATTGCTCTCTTCCAATACCTGAAAGGTGCTTACAGCGAGAGCGGGGTTGGTCTCTTCTCACTGGTGACAGTGACAGGACGATTGGAAATGGCCTCAAGTTGTGCCAAGGTAAGGTTACGATGGATATCAGCAAAAACTTCTTTGCAGAAAGGGTTGTTAAGCACTGGAATTGGCTCCCCAGGGAGGTGGTGGAGTCACCATCCCTGGATGTGTTTAAAAACCATTTGGATGTGGTGCTCAGGGACATGATTTAGCGGAGGCTTGTTAGAGTTAGGGTAGGATGGTTAGCTTGTGGTTGGACTCCATGATCTTTAAGGTCTTTTCTAACCTGAGCAATTCTATGATTCACAGCTTTAAGGCCTCTGCAGCTGGATCTACAAAGCAGCCAGAAAAAAATTGCATGTGTTCTCCAAGTACTGGGTTGGGAGCAGTCCTGCTTGGCAACCTCAGAACAAGGACCGTGATATTCCTATGCTCAGCGTACACCAACTCTGTGTCTCTAACAGCTTCCTTTTCTCTGGCCAGAGCTTCCTGTCCCTCTGCAAGGGTTACACCTTTCCAGGAAGCACTACAGCTGTGTGCCCTTTCCACGTGAAATCTTACCAATCTCCAAGGCTGCTTGGGCAGGAGTCCATGGTGACTCCTTCATGATTGCGCCAAGGGAAGGAGGTGACAAATTTCAACCAAGGCAGTAAAACAATATGTAGCCTGAAATAACCAGAAGCCTGTTTCCCTTCTCTTTCAACAGCTGCATGAGAAGCAAAAAAATGTGTATGACAAATACTTCAGTTGCTTGGAGTATTAGATGGGAAACTGAAGATCTGACTCTTCTAAAACACTTCTCACTGTATGTTCTGTGGTGCTGGCAGACTTTGTCCTGGCAAAAGCTTCTTGCTAAGGTGACAGCTTTGCCCTTAACAATGCTGAATGTTTACCTTTACAAACAATTAATCCTTGGCATTCCTGGGAAGGAACTATGAGATTGCTATCAAGGGCTTTTCAAAGAAGCAAGAGAAAGGTCAAATATAAGGCTTGTAAAAATCCTGATCCGCCTTTTCTCAAATCTTTGTGAAAAATATCAAATTTCCTTTTCTTCCCTTTTTTTTCATAAAAAAGAAAAGCTGAAACTTTTGAAAAGCAAATAATTTGTGGAAAAGATTAACTAGAAATATTCTGTGATGATTTCTGCCAAATGAATCTTATTCTATCTTTCCCGCCTTAACAACATGGCTCCTTGCACTCTGGCACTGGGGTCCGTGCCCACAGCCCTGTGCATCCCGCTCCATGCCCACGGCGCTGTGGTGCAGCCCCTTTCCCTGACCCCCAGCTGCCCTCCCCTGACAGCTCCATGCCGTTCCCTCGGGCCCTGTCGCTGTCACACAGAGCAGAGCTCAGCGCTGCCCCTCCGCTCCCTGGGAGGAGCTGCAGCCGCCATCAGGCCTCCCCTCAGCTCCTCCGCTCTGCGCTGAGCACAACAAGGGGCCTCAGTTGCTTAGGGGGAATACATTGATGATTAACTTTTAAAGCAACAGGAGACTCTCTCTCTTTCCAGACTAAGTGTAACATTTTTGCATCTAACTCTAAATAGCAACGATTTTCAGTATCCAAAAGAAGGGGATTTATCTTGTTTTTCCTCCAGACCAGCTTCTTAATAGTGAGGTACGACCCTGACTCTTTTTCTAGCTGTGAAAATGCTTTGTAGGCTTTGGTTGCACCTCAGCATGGCTGTACCTTCTAAGCCACAGCTGTCCCAGTGTTCTACTCTCAAACACTTTTTGCACTCCAGACACTATTCTGACAAAGGACTCCAAATTACTATTCTAGCCATTTTCTCTGCAATTCACAGGAATTTTGCTTCTCATTTTTGCTTCCTAGGAATGACTTTCGTTGTTCCCCAGCTCCTCAGGATGAAGCATCGTTTTGATGTTACTGAATCTAAGACAGAGCAGCCTTCCTAGCATCTAAGACTCATGCTTAAAATCTAGTGCCATATAGAATGCGACACTGGAGAACAAATACCATAAGGAAGGAATATCCAATCCACAAACTGCGCCAGCCTTCGGGGCAGCGAGGAATAGAAGCTTCTTGGCTATGGACAGCAATTGCCACAGCTGGGGCCTCACACACAGAGCAGCGGCTGATATATGGCCTAATTTCTTCTTCTGCCACAGGCATCATTGGAAGAGGTGCTGTAGTTGAGAGCCAGTAGGATTTGTCATTTCGATTTGCATAATAACAAATATCCCCAGGGTTACAGTAGAGGAATGGCATTGTACTGAAACGAGCCAAGCAGGAGCCAGCCAGCCCTGTTAAAAAAAAAGAAAAAAAAGAAATTATGGCAATCATTCTTGCAGAATGCAAGTGTTCACTTTCCTGCCCTTTCCTAAGTGAGTGTCAGTAAAACCTTGCAGTCCATAATGTGTCACTGGCTTTACAATGGCAAGCTCTCAGGGACACTCTATGGAGACATACAGTTTTTATCTTCTCTTTTTGGTGCTTCCTAAGCTTGCATACTGAAATCCAAACTTTCTCTAAGTTCCATTTCTTTTTCTTCTTTTCAGTCAGTGGCACGGAGTTGAGGCTGCTGCTAGTAACATCTGCACGTACCTAGGTCCTGGTTGTGTGCTTTCTCTTGTCCCTCGAAGTACAGGAGGCTGTAGCCACTCCAGAGTTTGTTCATGCCAATTGGGCACATTGGCTCTTGGTCAGACTGGCTGTGCTTCACCAGCAGGTAGCCGATGCTAACGCTGCGACCTGGCATGCCTGGCAGCCCGGGGCTACCGGGGCGACCTGGCTGGCCTTAGATGAAAGAGAGAAGAATAATACAATTCAGTTTGTGTTCTCACAAATGCTCACTGATATTCCAGCTAAACTGCCCATGAGCAAAGATTAATTGCAAGATAACTCTTCTTATGGCAAGTTATTGTTTAAAAAGCTGTAGCTCTAGGATTAGAAAAGCTGATTTTGAAGCAGATTGGTGCTGTAACAGGCTCATTGGTTCCTAACATGGTGTATTTCACTATCAGAGCCAGGGAAAGCCACAGATAAAGTTCTGATGGATTTCAGCAGGATTTGTGCAACACAGATGAGGATCTGTTTCCTCACAACATTTTCTTAGTTTAAGATTAACCAAAAGCTTTTCTGTTGCTTGCATTTGCTTCATATGGCTACAATTATGCTCTTTGTACTTGGCTTATTAAGGTGGCAATCTTGCTGCTCTTTGATTGGATAAAGACACAAGTATTTTTTCACAAATACAATCCCTTAAACATAATCTATCCAAATATCACCTACTCAAACATTGTTTAAGTGCTAGCAAAACACTGTGCTGAAATAAACCAATATATACACTCAGATCAAAAACTTACTCTCGTGAGTTGACTGCCATCTACACCTATCAAAACTTATTCAGAAAACAGTGTGTCCTTTTTTACAAGTTAGTGGTGCCCTGTGAAGAATGTGCGAAGACATGAGCTTTCTCCAGCCTCCCTCCTCCCATCCAGTGATATAATAATTACAGAACAATTTAAAGCAGTGAAATGGGAAAGAGGGAAGAAATGCTGTGTGAATCTCTTACCTTCAAATCCCACTGGACCTTGAAACCCCATTGCTCCTTGTTCACCTCTGGATCCAGGAGGAGCTGGAATGCCACCTCTGCCCTGGAGTCCTGGTTCTCCAGGTAAGCCTCTGAAACCTTGCACCAACATTGATGAGCACAGTGACTTACTCTGTTAACATGTACTGTGCTTGCATGTGTTCAGTCCTGTCTGCCAGTTTTACCAGTTTACACTGAGAGCAAGATCTTACTGCTCAAAGAGCAGTGAATTCATTGGAAGAGATTGCTAGGATCAAGACTACATGACACCCACCACCTTAATCTTTCACTCTTGTTACCACCACATGTTTCTAATGAGACCAGTAGCAAGAGGTGCGCTGTATCTGCTCTATGTGTCACATTTCCTGCATCAAAAGCATGCCCACAAGGATGAGTTTTTCAGTGACTTTTGGTCTTGATTTAATTGACTGTATCCATATTTGATGTTGCTTTGGCTGTGCAAATGTTGTCAACAGTTCTCTCCTGTTAAGTTCTGAGTGTTAGGAAGCAGAGGAAAGCCAGGGCTCTAGCTTCAAAAAGCCCAAGTTTGACTCTCCTTTCTGAATCATATGGTTTTGAGTTGAAGAGAACCAAAGCAGTGCACTGGTGGTCTCACTATTCACAGCAACTGAGTTGAGGAAAGAAGTGTACAGTTCCTACCTGGTTCTCCTGGTGGACCTTGAGGTCCTGTATCACCTGGACTTCCCTGAGGTCCTGTACTTCCACGGGGACCTGGTGAACCTTGCTCAGCAACCAGCCTTGGAGGAAGAGGCGGCAACCCAGGAGAGCCTGGAGGGCCCTGGAAGCCTGTGATAAGAAACAAGACAAAGCAGTTTGATTTAAAAAAAAAAAAAAAAAAAAAAAAAAGCTTACTTGCCTTCATATGCTTTCATTCACAGACGTGTTGGTGTTACTGGGCTGCATATGCAAGAGAGGGACTGTTCTGAAGTGTCTGCAATACACTTCCTCCATTATAAGATTTATGGTTTTTATATTAGGAGAACATATATGAGGATGGGAATTGTTTTTTATTGGGCAGCATAAAGATAAGCTGAAGGAAACGAATGGTGCTTCCCTCAGTTACAACATATGAAGCTGGGAAGTTTCCCCCCCAAAAGCCAACAGCTTTCTGAGGTGGAGCATCATCTTTTTATGGACTTCTGGAAACACAGATAAACGATGTATGAATTTCTAAACAACCAGTATGTATACTCTGCAGAATTAGTTTATACAAAGAAATCTTCTTTTCTCCCCTTGAAAGTGGCTCTCATTTTGGAGTCATTACCTGGTATAAAGGCAGGGCCACCTACATCAGCACTGTGTGGCTGCAGAAAGTTTAGAAATTAGTCACACGTCTGACTGTAATTACTCACCAGTAAGTCCTCTATCCCCCTTGGGTCCGATGGGTCCCAGATCACCTGGAAATCCTACTGTGCCAATAAAGCCAATGACACCTTGTTCACCCTTACGACCTTTGATGCAAAAAGACATGTGACATTACTGTATTTTAACACAGATCACATGAGTTCTGAAGTCATGACACTCAAACTGTTGTAGCATAGAGGGTTCCCCTCTATAGATGATCAGCATCTCCTGTCCTTACCTTTTGGTCCGGGATAACCGGGAATCCCAGGTCTCCCTTGTAGTCCAGGATCACCTCTTGTCCCTTTGGGACCAGCTTGTCCACTCACACCTGCTCGTCCACTTTCTCCCTTGCTTCCCGGTGGAGCTGGTATTCCAGGCTGCCCATGTAGTCCTGGATAGCCTGTTTAGAGCACATTCAAGCTGTAATCTGTTTAGACTGCCTAAATACCTGGGCATAGATGAAGGTAGAGGTGCTAATTGTATCACATCAGGCTTTATTTCCTTAATTTAAGCAGGGAGTTCATGCTCAGTTGTCTATCAGTCTTAATCTGCATCCTGCTCTCAGCCTGGCAGTGGCAGAGTAATTAGAGCATAGAGTTCCTGCAGAATATGGTGTTGTCACAGCCTTTGATGGGCTATCTCTGCCCCAGCAAACGCCCCACCTCACTGGGTGCCTCCCTGCTTTGTCCTAAATTTCCCAAGTAACTAGAGAGAAATCAGACATCCATGAATACATAATTGGTGCCAGGTGGTAAATATGCTAAGGACTCAGTGTTCCATGTACTTCGGTGCTTCAGCTGAACACCTGGATACAAATAACTGCTTCACTCTCTCTTGGCAGTTATGGCAACAGCTGCTTTTTCCAGAAGTACCTATTGCCTGAAGCTAAACTTGGCAGGTTTCTGTTTGCTACCTCTGCTGCCTGAGAAGAGAAGAAATGGACTTTGTTTCCAGGGAAAAAAGGATTTAATAATGGTTTTCAGTGGGGCTTCTCTGATGCTGCCTGTTGAAGCTGGATTATGTGCGGATATGAATGCAAGATGCTTACAGCAAAGTAAAAGGGCCATGCTATTCCACATCAGCTGGCAGGTGATCTTCCTGTTCCTAGCCCACTCTCTTCACTACTTTTACTGATTTTTTAATGAAATGACTGCTTGGGGAGTGGGAATCAGTATGCAGTCAGGCCAACTAACATATTCTTCACACTTGGAAACCCAGGTATTTTGTTGGTTTCACAGACAGTCTGCCTGCTCTAAGTTTTTGCTGAGTTCACATTTCAATTTCCACATACTACATGGAGATGTATACATACACCTGCAACTTCTGCTACAAGTGGCACTGAAGTTTGAAATGACTGTGCAACAAGCAAAAGGGCTATCAGCTTCTAAATATACAGTCACAGATTGACTCTTTCATGTGTGAAAAAGGCAAGCTCACAGCATGGAATTCTAGAGATGAGAAAAGATAATGCTTTCTTATGTAATTTCACATAGGAAAAAATTGGGAATGATTAAGAAAATGTTCTGCAAATCTGCAACTCCACCACAGGGCTAAGATTTTAAAGCAGTAAATTAACACAATGCTTCTAAAAGCTGTTAAGAGAATTTTAGATGATTGATTAAATCTGCTGTTTGCATGAAACAACAAGTCCCTCCATCAGGGTATCCAGGAATGGCCTTTGGCATAGAGTTCTGCTTCCTGGTTTTGTCTGAGAGCATCCCAGCATTCTGTCATGCACTTCAGTGTTGCATTTAACAGAGATACTTTACTGAATAAAGACTGAAACAAACTGCTGTTGCTAATTTTGTATTTAATCTCCTATTGTTACCTGATGGATACAACGCATGAATTACCTGGCACTCCATCTAGACCTGGTGAACCTATATCACCAGGATATCCTGATATATTGGAAATCCCAGGAGGCCCTGGAAGTCCATCCTGCCCAGGAATGCCAAAGGGTCCTTGGATTCCTGCAAAGAAGAGAGGAAATAATCAGTACTGCAAAGAAAATGGACACTTTCAGTTACAAAGACTGACTTTTCACCAACTGCAAAGGATTGTATTTTTGAAGTGGAAACACCTGTAGTTCCCACTGATCTTTGCTTTTCTTTCCCCCTCAGATGATGCTGTGGAGGTGTTTTAAAAAGAAAACCTCAATATTAGCTGTGTTTCAAAGCTCTCTGGATAGTTAATGACATCTTGCTATGTGGAATGCTAATAATATTGTGTCTGCCAGGTTAAATATTACTTCAGAATAGGGAGTACTTGAGATACCCTGAGTATATTGCAGCAGACAAGAAAGCAGCTTTGTTCCTCTGTGTCCTATTGAATAGGGATCACAGACACTTTGTTTTTCCGGAGGGTCGAATGAAACCAAAAGTTTGATTACAATTCTCTATAGGTGGAAGACGTTAAATGGCCCAAAAGAAGATAATAGATGGCCTTAGAAGGAGCTAAATGGCCAAAAATTTGCCTCACCTTTTTGTTCAAAATTATCCTTCCTTGCCAGGAAGCCACAAAACCCCCTTTGTTTAGTCATGTAAAAAAAAAACAAAACAACAAACTAATAATATTTAATTCAGATAAGCACAAACAAAATAAGCCAAATAGTTGTTTCTTCCAGAGCTTGATATGAAATGTCTGAATGGTGGTGTTAAAGAATACGCATCCTGTTAGTAAGGACAAAGCAGAATACAAAAGAACAGCCACTGAACAGTTCAAGTAGAGGGAGTAAAGTTTTATGCCTCTGCCAGTCCTTGGTACTTTTAGAGTTAAAAAATTGGAAAACTTATTAAATAATATGGTAGTTAATTGTTTCATCCATAGCACTGGTCTGGAGACTCCCTGATGGAAGAAGAACTGGTGGTGCACTGCACTGAGGTAACTGCAGCCTGCTATAGCAAGGTGGGTCAGAGCTGGAAAGCTGTACGCTCACCTGGCACGAGGGTGATGGTGTAAGTGAAACATGGTGCATGCAAATAGAGTCCAGGAGGTATCAGGAGGAAAATCACACATTAACGGACTGTGAGGCTTTCAGAAGAAAGGTAAATATTGAAGGTTTTGCAATGAAAAGAAAGAAAGAGGACAGCCATAGTGCTCGTGTAACTGGAGCCTCTTTAAAAATATTGTGGGAGCTGGTGGCTGAGAGCAGCCTCTGGCATCTGCAGTGTGCTGAGCTCTGGTGGGAGTGCAGGGGGGCTGCTGCTGTGGGGAAGGATGCAGGCCATCCAGAAGGGGGTACCATGTCCCGCATTGGGCAGTGCATTGTTTCTGAGTAAGGTCTGGATAAGCAGAAGCTACAGTGTAACTTTCCAAGAAGTAACTACAGTGACTTTTCCCACATTGGGCACTGCTTCTGTAGCTCTCCTATGCAGCTGTCTATGCTGTATTGCGCTTCATGACATCTGTAACACCCGCTAATGGAACAAATAATAAGTGGATCCCATTCTGCAGTATACAGACCTGGAACACCTCTGTCTCCCTTCTGACCCGGCGGGCCTTGGCTGCCCTCCACTCTGCTCGGCTCTCCTGCTTCTCCTTTGTCACCCACAGGACCTGGGAAGCCTGCAGAGCCATAGCCATCTGGACCTGTTGTGGAATTGTTCACAAGTGAGAAGAAATGTTTCCTCACATAGAATCGAGTCGGCATTCTCACGTATATGTAGAGAGCGTATGGATGTACTAAATGGAGTGGCTCATAATGGAAAAGGAAAATAATGAGGATTTAACTTTACACAAGGAAAGAAATTATGAAGGTGTATTGTAATTCAGCATGTACTCTGTAAGTGGTTGTTTGCCAGAGTCCATAATGATAAGGCAAATTCACATTGAGCTTTAGAGGACAAAAAAGGAAAGTCCCGTTGCAAAGATTTCACAGACAAAACTTGCAGCTAACCCAATGCAGTGCCTGTCAATATGCAGAATGAAAGTCTTACTGACCTGGTGATCCTGGTAAGCCCTTAGTGCCTGGTAAACCATGCAGTCCACTGATTCCTCTTGAGCCAGGTAAGCCTGTTTTAAAATTACACTCATTATCTTAATAGTTTCTACAAGATCATACATATTCCTCATGAAAAAAAGGAAGTGCTTAAATAAATATGATTCTGTGTTAAGCTCACACATATTATATGCGAATTAATTAATTATAATAAGCTTACTGTGTAATATATTATTCTTTTTTTTTTATTAGCAAATCTAATTAATATCCAATAAGCTGACAATGAGATACTTAAAATCTCTCTAATCTGTCTGGTAGAAGGCCATTAGTTCCAGTCTTGCGACTGCAACTTTCTAATAACCATTTGATGTTTTCAAAAGTCCTCAAACCAAGACAATTATGGGATAATTGTGCAACCTGAATGTAATTATAATGAAGCCATCTTCAGGAGAAATTCACTCTGGGTCATTAAAAAAACCACAAACAACAGTTAACAAAATGTCTAATAGCTGCCACTGCGGTTATAGGTAAAATGTATCCCATTTATTTGTGTCTATCAAAAAGTTAAGCACAATGTTAAAGTGGGTATCTTTAATCAATTGTCAGAGCTCTGAAGGACAATTAAACCTTCACAAAAATAACTGTCTGCCTCTCTCTTCATTGCTTATAAGGGCAGCCTCCATAACTTTACTGGCTTTGATTTGACGCAGATTCAGATAGATGAATCTCACTAAAATCAGGGCAATTTCCTGCTGTACTTGTAGAGAAAAATCTGCTCACTTCATATACGAAGGAGTCAGGTGGCAGACAATGAGATCCTGTGATACAGCTTCATTTTAAGCCATTACCTGTATGCTGATAGCAAAGTTCTGTCTGAGTCTCAAGTTGGATGTAAGCCACCCAAATCATAAAACCATGTGTCAGATCAGTACGTGGGTTTTGATGATGATGGAAGACAAGTTTGTTTTTTGCTATCTAATGCCACATTTTAATATTCTAACACTATCTCACCACTCTTTTTCTTAGCTTCATTATAAATGAAAACATTTCTCGAAAACTGCTTTCTTGGTTGAGCGCGAGTTTCCAATCATAGAATCATTAAGTTTGGAAAAGAGCTTCAACATCATCTAGTCCAACTTTCAGCCCACCCCCACCATGCCCACTGACCACAGCCCACAGACATACACCCACCATTTTCTGGAAAACCTCCAGGGATGGTGACTGCACCACCTCCCTGGGCACCCTGTGTCACTGCCTCACCACTCTGTCTGCAAATAATTTTTTCCTAACATCCAACCTGAACCTTCCCCAGTGCAACTTCAAGGGAGCTCAACAGATAACAGACCTTCAGAACCGAGGAACTAAAAAGCAACCACACAGGTTCCCATCAATGCATCTGGACTTCTTGTGGAATGCACTTTTACTAGGAGGAGCTCTGCCACTGTGAACTGCAAAAATCCCTCTTTCTTCTTCGCCCCCAAAGAACAAAAGCGACTGCTCACACTGAAATGACTGAGTAGCCAAAGCTGTATGAATACCTGCTTGTCCTGGTAAGCCAGGCCAGCCAGGAGTTCCTTTTTCTCCTTGGAATCCAGGCGTTCCAGGGCTTCCTTGCTGCCCTGGAGGGCCGACCAGTCCTGGCAAACCTAGGTGATAATGGTATATCATCATGAGTGACTTTAGAAGCCAATAGCACAGAACACTGGCTTGGGCTACCTTCATTCTCCCAGGTAGCAAAATAAAAGCTTATGTCCTTAGCGTCACTGTATGACACTGCACCCGTCATCCAATTGGATGACAAAAGAGAGAAAAGGGAAGACAGGCAAGGTGTAACACAACAAATTAATTGCAAATTTCAGGGTATGACAACCTCAGGAATATAATAAACTCCTTCTACTAAAATGGTTGCCTGACTTCAATTAGCAGTTACCATGGGTAACTTATGTGCACCTTAGTTGCCCCATTTGCCCCCTCTATTTTGGCTCTCTGACTGGAAAAATGAGCAGAATAGTGCTGTTTCCCAGTAAGGTACCTACTAGCACAGCTCCAGTTTTGGATGGAATTCATACACCCTATAATTACGTAGGAAATCTGGACCAACTGCTCTGCAGGAGCACCTTGATAGTCATCCTGGAATGAGACACGCTCTTAAGCCACAAGTTTGTGATCCAGCCTGAGCCAGACCTGACTTTGGTTTCCGTGTATTCCTGTATGTTCAGCCAGGGAAAGTGGCTCAAAGGCTTCCCAACTGGGTCCTGTGGGATATTTATTGCATTTATGGCAGAAAAGAGTGCTGAAATGCCCACCTCCTTGTTGCATTGAGAATTACCGTAGCTAAGTACTCCAACAGTGCAACAGTTTGACGGGGCATATGACTGTTATAAGAAAGGAAACATTGCTGTGAACCAGAGTTAATCTTTTGAAATTTCCTCTTAACAAGTTCTCCTGGGAGTTCCACATTCTTTTTATTGCTCTTTACCAACTTACAGAATAATTAACATTTTAAAAACGTAAGGACTTTCTCTTGAGTGAATAGTGTTTTTTCCTTTCTTTTCTCATCCTGTCTTATTCTTTGGAGTGTTAAAAGGGAAGAATATTTTACCTTGCTGTCCCAAGGAGCCAGGTACACCCTGTATGCCCTTGAGGCCTTCAATGCCAGGTAAACCAGGATCACCTCCTTCGCCTTTTTGTCCAGGGCCTCCTCTTAAGCCTGCAAAAAGAAATGACAAAAGCAGTAAATTCTCTCAGTAATCTTTATATAATCCTAAACTAACTTGCTAAACGTGAAGCTGGCTACTTGATGAGTCCTGTTCTAGCTGCACAAACACATTCTTCAAGCCAGGGTGCTTTCGTAAGTGTGGGAGCATGAATGGTCTTCTACCGCACCTTGGCCAATCTGTCATTAAATTTGTTTTTTTAACAGTTATCCCCAGATGATTTGAATTACAAATCTGATGTTCGAATATACAGAATGTGCAGAGATGTAACCAATTCAATCAAAAACCAATTCTGCTATCCCCCCCTTTTTGCCCTGATATCGCTCCTTTTGTCACCAATGGTAAAAAATATGTATATATATACATTATGATGCTTTACTAGAGCTGCCGGTGATTGAAGTTTAGTGCCATAACAGTCATTTTATTTGAAGAGATAAACATAGCACATATTAATTTCAATTAAGTGAAGATGCAGCTCTTCAAGAGCTGCTGTGAAACCACAGGCTGAACAGCCATCAAAAACACGTGCTAAGCTCTCCCACCTTTTCTCTGTGGAATTTAATCTGTGAAAAATGAGAAATCCAGAGTAGCTGTGACATTAGTACCTGTAAGACCTGGCACACCAACTTCCCCTTTAAGGCCTGGCATTCCTGGTAAGTTTATAGTATCACCCGGCTCACCTATTTCAAGGTAAAAACAACAAGTGAGTGGCAAAGCTTTAACCAAAATCAGCAGCATTTCCTGTACTTTTGAAGAACTGCAACTTCCAAGACAACATTCTGCAATTATTATCTGTCTAGATAAAAACAGAAATAAGTTAAAGGAAGAAAAACATAGAATGTAGGCTCTCTACTGATGCCCTGCCATGATTTTTTTTTAATCTTGCATGAAATTAACAGTATTAAGCTTTTCACAGCCTCGTGTGTTTGCAACACCATACTCTAAGACCGTAGAAGGACTCATTAAGACTGAAGACCCTCCCAGATCCTACAGAATTTCACGTCACTTGATTGTTGATGAACAGAACGAACGCTCAAATAAGAGAACAAACTCACCAATTTCACCATGGGAGCCAGGAGTACCAAAATGACCCGAACTTCCTGGGGCACCCTTATCTCCCTGTCGTATGATTGAAAACAATTATTTGTTAATAAGAATGAGGATTTATTCAACCTTGCAAGCAGCGGAGTTTAAATATTGAAAAAACGACATTAAATTTACCTTTTGTTTTGCTCTGTGTGTTTTTTTGTTTGTTTGTTTGGGGTTTTTTGCTTGTTTCCATTGTGCTTTGAATTTGGCTGAAATCAGTTAACCCGAACCAGCACAAACCAAGTGACAAGCTGTGTTTGCTAAGTCTCAGTTTGAAATGGAAAACATCATATTGCACATATATGACAGACAGTCTCCCTATTCTTGGTCAGGAAAAAGTTCTACTAAAGTTGAGGGACGTTTCTAACTGAGAAAGGAACACATTTTCTTGTCTCTATTAAATAAATTATGCATGTGAGTCTACTGCCAGGCCTTTTGCAAGACTTCAGTGTAACTTATTTTGATGCCAAAGTGAATCACCCTCAAGCAACTCAGATTCTTAGGCTTTTTGCTATTAGGGAAGTGACAGTGAGTAATTATAGGCAGTGGCACCATCAATTTGGAAAGAAAGAGTAAACACACCGCTGAAAATAATTTTTACCAATAGCTACAGTAACCAAGGACCTCAAAAGAACAGTCTGGGTCCTCATAGGCAGAAAGGTGGCACCTGAAATCTGATGTCTCCCAATGAGAAGAGATTCTCCTTAGTGAACATTAGAGAGATCAAGCAAAAGGATTTGATCTATTTATTCCATTCTTCTTGCATTTTTATCTTTGTACTTCAGCTGTTCAGTATAATTTCAAGGGGTGAATGCCACTCCCTAGAGAAGTTGCAGCAAAAGGATGCCATTTTGCCAGTCTTGGTATGGACTCACCCTGCCTCCTGTGCTGCCAGGGAAGCCTCTGATGCCTGGAGAGCCAGTTGGACCAGGATACCCTTTCAGACCCGTCAGCCCTTTTGCACCAATGTCCCCCTTCACACCAGGCACATAGCTGGGGTGCCCTGGGGACCCAGGAATTCCTGTCTTACCAGGAAGGCCTGGCATTCCCTTGCTACCTGCAGTAGGGGAAAAAGACAAACAGAGAAGACTTAAAGCACTAGACCAGAGAAGGCTGATATGCAGTTGCCCGTGTGGAAAAGAACTTCATGCTAACAGCCTTTGTGCAACACAAGCACCACAACATGCTGGCACAACAGAGCAGGCATGAACAGACAGTTTTCCTTGGGTTTTCTCTCTGCAAGCTCAGCTTTGTTTGATGGAGGCTTCGCTGGGTGGGCTGCAGTGTGGGGGTGCATTGAGCTGAGAATGTTTTATACAGTACATGAGAAAATACCTAGACACCAACTAACCCTAAATGTGCTCGCTTTGCTTTGCCATTAGCACTGACCTTTTATGCCAAAGAATCCCTTGGTGCCAGTTTCTCCAGCATCTCCTTTTTCACCTTTAACTTTCATCATCATGCTAGGCTTTGGCTTCGGGGGCTCTCCTGGGGGACCTTGTTCTCCACGGTCACCTAAAGGGTAAAGAAACACCCATATTTAAAAAACTGTTCAGCTGCACTGTGCTGGAAAAAGAGACAACAGAATAGTGTAATCAGTCAAAAGAAATTAAAGGAAAACCTTGCACAAGCCATGGAAAACCTGTTTGCATGGAAAATTGACCATATCAATACAACATATCTGCAGAACAAATAAGCATAAGAAAATATGAAAACTAAGCTAGACTTCCATATGCTATTCTGGGGAGTTGGACATGGGCTCCCCTGTGACAGGGGAGTTTACTTCTCAGTAGATCAATTACCAAGTGCTTATGAAAACCAAAATCACAGAAAGCAGAGACAAGTGGGTGGTTTCCAGTGAAAGGGAAGCCCTCAGTCAAACGGGACTTAAAAAGGCTTGGGTGAAAGAAAGTGTTTGGATGTGTTACCAGCTATTTTGTTCCAACTTCCTGTTGGAGGACTGAATTACAGAGGTCCTTTCACTGATTGTGGTATCAATTGGTATGTTTCTGACTTAACTGCACAGTTTTCTGAATATTTTTTTGCCTTTATCTCGAGGCAAAATTGGAATCTTTTCCCCAAAACATCTTACACCTCCCAGGAAAAAACTCTGTTGAGTTCTGCATGTGTCTGGAGGTGTGTTCAAATTTGGTGGTGTGCCTGTCTCCATCCTGACCACGCTCAAGATTCACAAAGAAACAACCTTCCCTTGCGGCTCAAATCCAAGCTTCTCAGCCGGAGGCCCATGTGTGAAATAGGTGGAGCAATGTCTGAGCTAAACTATGTCTAAAATGTGTCATCTTTGTCTGTGCATCCTTGCAAAATAGTTCTCCATATGTGAAAAGCAAACACTGTACCACTCATAAGCAAATACCTTTAAAGCCTCGAGCACCCTGCGCGCCTTTATCACCCCGAGCCCCAAATAAGCCAAATTCTCCTTTGATTCCTTTGATTCCTGGTCTTCCTTTCAGGCCTGGCATGCCTTTGAAACCATCAATGCCAGGTGAACCTCTTGAGCCTTTAAAGAGAAGTGGGAGACAACTGTTATCTTGTTCAGATTTCTGCAGAATAGGTAAATATGAAATGATAATGCACAACTAAAGCTGTCTGAAAGTTGCTCTGCTGCAGCACCATTTCTGGGTGCCTTGATGCCTAGGGCAATGTGCCATTCCATATTAGGCACCTAAGCTCTCTGGGAGGTAGGTATCTACATAAGATCAGGGCTTCAGTGAGTTCCTTAGTCTGGCCAAAAGAAGATGTGGAGACGGCCGGATCTTAGCGTCATCTTCTGAAAAGCCATTTCAACCCTGATCCTACAGACCAAAAATTATGGCATTCCTCTCTTCTAAACAAGAGGATCCTGTTTTACATGGGTCACGCTACCAAACAGATCTTTATTCCTCTAACAAGGAGCTGATCAGAACACCAGAGTAATCCTGGGGAAAAAAAAAAGAAGCCTTAACTGTCTTTTCAACTGATGATTTCATCATTCTGTATGAATTTTTAGGCACTCGTCTCTTCTGTTTAAGCAGAGTTGAATTCTGTTGAAACTCCTTGTATGACACAAACAACTTGCATTGTATATAGTGCTTTTGTGGCAGGTAGGAGAGAGTCTCTACTCGTCTATACAAAAGATCAGTATCCTGTTAAAATTCAGCATCAAGGTCTGGTGTCTGGCACTGCTCAGCACGTAGCTGCCAACTTTCAAAAACTTTAAAGGCTTGGGGAAACATCTGTCACATTCAACTGACAGCTGGTGGGACTGGGCCAAGGGAAAGACTTTTGGGAAGAACAAATAGTAAATACTGTAAACCACTGCTGCTCTTCAAGCTAGTTCTGCACCAAGCACAACACAAGAGAAAACATACAATGATTTTGGAATATATTAAGCCTAGGAGTATAATTCCTGTTTTAAAGAGGTAGCCCAGCAGAAAACGTGTCCTATTCATCTCAGCACTAAGCAGCTTTAAGCAACATTATTTTTTTGAGTGCAGCTATTTAGAGCTTACCTTTGTCTCCTGGAAATCCATCCATTCCACTAATGCCAGGGGGACCAGTCACGCCAGGGATACCTTGTAATCCTGGGAAACCTGTTTCACCTTTATCACCAGACTGACCTTTTATGCCCACCAGACCAGGAAAGCCTTGCTCACCATCTTCTCCCCTTGCACCTGGTGGACCTGCCATGTGAATGTGTGAAAAGGGAGATTAAAGTGTTTGGATATACACAGTGATTATATAGAAGGTAGCCCAAGCAGGGAAAAACTGCTATCGTACTGGCTTTAAGTTGAAAGGGAAAAAACTGTGGTTTTTTCAACAGAGAACTTCAGAAATGATTACACAGACAAAGCAGCAACACAGCAACACAAACTAATCTTGCTAACATCCTGGTTCTACACTCACTCCCAACATGATCTCTCCCTCCTCTTTTATTTAAGAATTAAGGCTTTTTAATACAAGATTACTCCCATTTAGTTGTTCCATTCTTCCAGACTGACTGCAGTGTGCTCTGTCCCTGCATGGCACATGGCTATAGAAGGAAAAGCAGCAGCTCTGCCTCTAAGGACCATCATCACCCCTATTCCCCAGCTGATACGCCAGTATAGTTTGCATTCACAGTGCCTGCATTATCCAAGTCATTTCCTTGACTGAGAATTACAGCCTGGCATGTGCCACAATCTCAAAGTTAATTTTCCCCTGGGAAATTATACAGGTTCCTTGCCACAGAGAGTGGGGAAGAGAAGTGACACAGGACGTCAATACTTCCTCACCAAGGGGTCCTTGAGAGCCAGGTCCACCATCAGGGCCGGGGTTTCCTGGTGGCCCTGGGAATCCATGAGTTCCTGGTGTTCCTGGTAAACCCATCAAACCAGGGAGACCTTGCAGCCCTGGATCACCTTTGGGGCCTGGCAATCCTGGGTTACCATCCGCTCCTAAAATACCGTAATACCGCGCATTAGTGAACATAAATATTGAGAGACTGGATTATTACATATCATTTCTCAAAATAGGTGAATATGTACTATTTTTTCAGGATGTATTTTTTCCTCTGAAAATCAATGGGAAGAAGAAAAGCAAACTAAAAGGCTGCTCATTAGTTTTAAATTCTTGATGTTATTGGTGCTAGTCTCCATATTTGCACTGGAAAGGTTGATGGGCTCTTTCAAATGAATGGAAGTAATTTAGTATCAGGTAGATCTAAACAGAGTAACTCTCTTCCATTTCTAACTCCAATAATTCTGTAATTTCTGATCTTTCCCTTTGTTACATATGTCTTTGTAAGAACTGAATCGAGTTGACCAAAACACAGAAATAATGCCCTGTGTCTTTTCTAAAATGTGATAGGCAGAAATGGAAAAAAACAGTAAGGCAACAGTGGGTTCTTTGTGTTGTGTTGTATTCAGAATTTTTCAAGTGAGGTACCGCTATAAGTTTCATACAAATTCCTCAGCAAAATGCCCTGATTCTACACTTCAATGTTTCGAGTGAAAATTTACATCTCTACAAGATAATAGCAAAGGCAATGTCAAGTCCTTCCACTTTTAAATGGTAATGCACGCTTTGCATTCAGATTGGATAAGCAATAGTGCACAACATCTCAAAAGCACACCACACTTAAAATCCAGGATAGGTGGCTCTGCTTCTTTTTATTTGGGTTTTATATCATTGTAGGTGCAGAGGCTTGAATGTAGTTGCATGTGCTTTAGAACTGAGAGAAACTAAAAGGTCCCAGGCGGTGAGTTTTCTCAGCAACAGAACAGAGACATTTGCTCCCTGTTCTGAAGGACTAGTAGTTTAACTGGCACAGATGAAATAAAGGAGTTGCCAAACACTTTGTATAAAAGTAACAGGAAAGAGGGTTCGCTCACATCTTTTTAGTCTGTGTTTACCCTTGAATTTCTTCTCCCTCAGAGAAAAAGAGTCTTAGGGGCAATAGTGGTATTGTTTTCTCAGACATAGCAAGTGTTACCACAGTGCTACAGAGCTGCTTTTATTTCATTCCTTCATTCTGTGACTGTACTGAAGATGAAAACAGATCTGCTCACTTCAAATAAGTCATGTAAAATGACATGCTTATCTTGTCTTTATCCATTTGCATTGAAAATCATGAGATGAGTCACCAAAATAAGTTTCTATCAAATTCCTCTTTGCTTTGCGCTAGTCATGCAATTTCCTCCTTCCTCAGTTCCACAATAGAGCAAGGGGGTAAGTCTGCAGTCCTGTGTCCAGCTGCTGCTGAAACAGTATAGCAGGTAATGCTTAATTCCTATAGATGCTTTTGAAAGTCCCCCACTGAACTCAAAGAGTGACACAGACAGCTTTAATGAAGATGTTGTTTTTTTTTCTGTCTACTATAAGTAGAGCATGTTTTTTTAAGCTCTGTAAAATAACAAAATAAAGTGAGCGCCCTAAAATTATGAGTAAATATGTAATGCTCCCTTTTTCTTGTTCCTGGAATGCTCAAAGACCCTTGAGGTAAAAGGGCTTATTAACGTGTTACTAAATGCTGTGCCTTCTCTGCTAATATTTACAAATTCTGCAGTGGAGCAATGTGCTGTACTACAAAGCCATCTATTATCCAGACATTGTAGGGGTTGGAAATGAAGCTGAGTACTATGCAGTACATAAGTGAAAATTCAAGATAATTATCTATGGCTGGAAAAACTAAAGGATACATCTGATACAACAAAGATGAGAAAATCTTGTTCTTTGATGTCCCATTATAGGTGATGCCATGTGGTGCAGTGTGAGAGCATGCTGGTATAAGCAGTGAATCTCCAGAAGGTGTTTGAGAGGAACCTCAGAGAAGGTGCTTGAGTTCAATTGGTCTTTCACTTCCCTCACATAGTCATAGTCTGGCTACATTTATACCCCAGTCTTAAACATTTCTTTACTTGAAGTACCTCTAACTCCTGGTATTCCTTGATCTCCTGGTGCACCTTTCAAGCCAGGGAAGCCAGGCAGCCCAGCATCCCCTCGAGGGCCTGCTGCTGCTCTCAAAACATCACCAGGAGCACCCTTCTGTCCATCCAGTCCTGGAGCACCAGACTTTCCCATAAGACCTGGATGTCCCTGTAGTCCAGGTAAGCCATTTGGGCCGCTGTCTCCTCGGGGCCCAGTAAAGCCTACAAAAAAAAAAAAAGCAAACAACCGAGGATTAGGCATTGCAGTGTCCACTATAGAAGTTGCAGTGCAAATCCCAGATACATCATCATAACATCTGTTATATTATTGTAACTTCCCTTACTTCTCAACAGAAACATGTAAAATTAAACAAAGTGAAGTGCATATAATGGTTTTAAAAACACATAATGTTCAGAAGAATAGTTGACCAAGTCTGAAAATTGACAAAAATTACAAATGACTCTTCAAGATATCTCGTACCTTGGTGTAAAGGATTCACAGCTCCATGCACAGTTACTTTCATGAAACTATTTTGACATGGCTACTGCAATGCAGCATCTGATGCACGGACTCGGATCTGAACAATCCAAATCGTTAATTACAAGTTCTCACATCACTTATATACCTTCATTAGCTTTCCCATCCACCCCTACAACTTTCCCATCCACCCTTACATGTCAACAGAGCATTCTACAAAACACTCTTCAACCATTCACGCACATGCTTATTATTAGTCAGAGCTGTGAGACATTCTTTCTTCTTCTAGAGGTGTCCATGGTTCTCGTGCTGTCTGTCTTGCTCCACAGCTTCTGCTCCGAACAGTTTTTCATGTATGCCCACATTGCAACATCTTATAAACATCTTACAGTCTGAGGGTGAAAAAACACTTCCTGTATACCAAATTGTGGTTTGATACGCAGCAAGGGAAAGACAGGAGTCCAATATGAACAAATAAATCAAAAGTGAATGCAGGCAGTAAACCAGAAAGGCCTTGAGGAGTTGCCCAGAGGGGCCACTGCCTCTGCTGTTCCCTGTACATCTCAAGGGGCCAATGCCAATTGCTTCATACTCTTCATATACCAGTGCCACCGTGCCTTATCTACTACCCTACTGGTGAATGATTGGGAAGGACTCCCATATAGGAGGCAGGGAAGACTGGTAAACTGGACCTAGACTGGAAGTTAAGTCCAAGTATGGACTTATGGTTGAGAAATAGTATGGAAGACAGCTGAAAATCAGTGTGAGTGCTAATTACTCTGTGGCCTGGCAGCCATACAGTATAGGAGCCCCAATTTTGCAGTTAGTGCACTCTGCAGAGCTCAGAAAGGGAAATACAGATTCATGTACCTGCCCAGAATGAGTTTTTTTGTCCACACCCCTTGTCTGTTGATCAAGACATGTATCAACTTTGCTTTCACCTATTACAGATTAGGATAAAACATTACTAGCACTGAGCACTTGGAAACACTGGAAACACAGCCAACTGTGGGCAAGGTGTATAGCTAGTGCTTTGTCTTTGCTATGTTCATTATTATTTAAATGAATGCTATAAAGACTTAAATTGAAACAATAACACTATCTTCTTTCTTTCTGCAGTTATCATTCCACTTGGAATCCAAAACACCTTATTACTGAATTTCCTTATTTCTAAATCATCTTCACGAACTGTTGGCATTTGTAATTTTGCACTGTAAAGCAGATTTTAAAAGGCTGGAGTCTGTGTTACTTTTTGTCATTACAGGAAGTTGCAGAAAATACTTTTGGCTTCAAAAAAGGAGAGCTTTATTTATAACAGCTTATTGTTTGAAGATGGAAGGTGAGATAAATGAAGACGGATCTGGAGTAAGGTGATTGTGCTTCAGTGACTGTAGCCAAGGTCATAAATATATAAAGAATGATTCATTATTTCAAGGTACCTGGAGGACCTGGGTATCCTTCCCGACCCGGATCACCTCGTGTACCATTTAGCCCTGGGAATCCCACTGGGCCTGGATCACCCGGGAATCCTCTTGCACCTTTAGTACCTAAATTATATAAAAGAAATTAAGGAAGTGTGATCCAAAGAATCAAAACAGAAGTTTGGATACAGTGTAGCAAAAGTAGTGGCAAATACTTTAATTATCTGTGTCCAGGTACAAAGATAGACTTTTAAAATAAAATTTATGGTATGATACTGTACTCAAGATCCCAAGAATGGTCCCAAACTCTAGGCTAAGTGTTTTTACAAACATAGATTAAAGACTGCTTCTGATTTTTAGACTAACAATATGTAAATGGTGAGGGTGAAAATCACCTGTCTGATAGACTTCTGGAGACTTTTTTGACAAATATTTTGTAATTAAGCTTTTTAGAGTTATGGAATTGTTTGAATTGGAAGGGACTTTTAAAGGCCTTCTACTCCGTTGCAATGAAAGAGACTTCTGCAGCTAGATCAGGGTGCTTGGAGAGCTGATCAGCCTGAGTTTGCCTGTCTCCAGGGCCAGGGCATCCACCTTCTCTCTGCACAACCTGTTGGATCTTGGCGTTCCCGATCCCATACCTATATAGCCCAGCAACATCCATGTACTCCTCCCAGGATACCTGCTCCTGCTTCTGCTGCCTGTGTGTTTTCCTTTTGCTCCCCAGTTTGACCAGCAGGTCCCATTTCAGCCATGCTGGTCTCCTGCCTTCCTACATCTGAGGATGGACAACTTTTGTGTATTAAGGAAAGCTTCTTTAAATATCTTCCAGTTCTGCTCTGCTTCCTTGTCCTCGGTGATTGTTTCCCAAGGGGGTTTTGTTGACTAACTCCTTGAAGAGCTGGAATTTGGCTTAAGGTCAAAAGGCAGTGTCAAAGGAAAAGTGCTCGACAGTAATGGGCACAAATGAGATGATGTAGGAGAAACAAATGTTTCCCTTCTCTGCTAAACTGATCACAGGATAAGAGCTGACTGGTTTCGATAACCAAAAAAAGAAATACAAGGCTAGAGGTTAGATCTAATCATCCTAGGAACTGAATACAAGTTAAATAGCTTACATACTATTTTTGTAATAGTGGAGGTTTATAGCTTAGGTAGTAAAATAAGAGCTGTGCCCTAAAAATGTGTTGCTCTGGCACTGAGCTCATATAACTGTTTCTCAGCATCTCAAAAACTGCAAACATCTTGTAAAATTCTTTTTTTTTAATAATGTTTATAAAACTGTACTATTTACATACATTTTTATGCAATAGCTTTATTACACGAGTCTCATCAATTCACTGCATTCCAAGGACCAGGTTTTTTGGTCAAGCTCCTTTAAAACAACCCTCATGCAATGCTTTGTTTTTTTCTACTCCCCAGCTCCCTGCACTCTTCCAGTTCCCAGTTCAGTCTTGAAGGTCAGCAACATGCTTTAACATTTTAAGTGCTGTTGCTTAGCATCATCATGAATTACAACTCAGTTTATTAGACTGAAAGTAAGTTTCTCTCCACTTCTAACTATAATGAAAAGGAAAATATCACTTGAATTTTGATACCTTAGTTTTCAGAATTTCTATTGTTTAGCCATCAATTTTTGCCATTTTAGCTGCTGGACTTCTTGTTTGTTTGTTTTTTAGTGAATCATATACAGAAACCTTTCAAAGGCCAGAATTAAGAAGCACATAAATAGCCTGTGCAGCATGAAAACCATCTTCTGAGTGCAGTACAGAACTATTGTTCTCTTCCTTATACGAACAAAAGCTTCTCAGAAAGCAATTAGAAGGAAAAATCTTAGGTTTTTAGGACTCAACAACAAATTCTAACACTGCTCTTACCTAAATGGCATCTTTGTTTTGTTTCCCATCTGCAATAATTGACTTTCATTCATTCTGCTCATTCTCATTCTAATTAAAAAGCCATATTAGAGAAAGAATGGACAGATGGAGAATGCAGCCACTGTTTACCACATATTTCATCAACTCGTTATGTGATGTTAGTTATTGTTAACATGTTGTGCCAAACAGTAGTAAGAAAAAGGGTTTTTTTGTAACAATATTTTGCAAGCATTTATTTGTATGTTTCCTACAGGAAACGAGCATCTTATTCAACAGTAGCTATACAGGTCCTGCCAGAGTTCAGAAAGCATTTGGACAATGCTCAGACATAGGATTTGATTTTTGGGTATGGAGACGTGAGTTGAACTCGATGATCCTTGTAGGTCCCTTCCAGCTCAGGATATTCTATGATGCTTTGATTTAGGAGCAGCAGCCACCAAGGCTGCATGCTGCTTAGACCTCTGCCTGTTTCAAGTCAACTCTTTCCTCCACTGTCCTTTCTAAAACACACTGTCCACTAAATTGCAGCTATGTTAGAGTTGGCAAGATCTCTCTCAGAACATAGTGTATCTGTGAAAAAAAAGGTGGAAACAAAACATTACCTGTGGCTCCTGGCAGCCCTGGCTTGCCTTGAGATCCCTTTGGTGGCCTCACACAGCCTCCACCTGCCAAGAAAAATGTTTAGTCACAGCATATGTGCTTACATGCTGTCTCTCATCATTGCTGTGCCTGCAGCTAACACTCTAAAAGCAGGTGAATGAAATCAACAGGAGAAGTCCCACTTTTAGAGGTTTTATTCTTCACTAAGAGAACAACAACAACGCAACACTGGTTACGGGTGGCGCTCTCCAGGGACCACTCATGCAGAGCTCAACCCCATTAATTCAATCAAGAGCCACCCTTCTGCCTATTTTACAGAGACTGTGGTGGTGGCTACTTTAGCTAGGCTGGTGTGGAAAGGCTATTTCAATGTCATGGACAGCTGTATTACCAGAACAAGAGAGACAATCTGTTTTCCCACACCTACTAAATAAAGTCAAATTTTGGTACAACTGAAGGTCCTTATTTTTTATGTGTCAGATTGCACTGAAACTCCTCACTCAGAGTTCTTCTTTTTGGAATTTCATTTCTTGCTCTGTTGCTTAATTTGCATGGTAATCATTATTTTATCACAATAAGCACAACAGGAGCAATTAAACAATTTCTGGATTGCAGAGGTAAGACTGCAAGAATTTTAGAAAACATCCAATTTGATTAACTCACTTTAGAGCTATGTACTGTATAAGCATGGTTATTTGTGACCTGAAGTTTAAATAGCTTACAATTAATAGCATTCAAAGCAGTCATCAGAAAGAAAGTATGAAGTCATAACAGCCACATAAGACTTAATGTCAAAGCACATTCAAGCCATTTGCATGTTCAGTACCTGACCATATTGGATCAGTTGCATCTCCTCTAGGAAAATCTTCAATCACCTGCCCACAGTCTGTGAGACAAAGAACAGGAAAAGATAGTTGTCATTTACGAGAAAAATCTAAAAAGCTTTCATTTATACAACAAAATATCGATCACAATATCAGATACATGTTCTTTTACGCATTATGCATTGGAGAAACCGTATGCAACAAAAACACTTGAACTCTATCTATCTATTATCTGAGCTCTATCTATCCATCTATCTATTAATTACAGCCTGCATTAGGAGCCCTATATGTCACATGTACTGTGTGGGGCTGACAGGTGCCTGTTTTGGCTTGTCTATTCTGCTACGCATCTTGAACTCAAGCAAAATCCTCTGAGTCTGAGCTTTTGTGAGCACAGCCCTGGCAATCTTATGCAAGAAGGGGCTCAGGTAACAGCAGAGATACCATGAATAACTCTAAAAGGCAGATAAAGGATTTTCTCTGCTCAATTAAAAGATGAAGTTGGATGGAGAAGAACAGAGAAAGCCACCTGTAATTTAATCGAAAGGAAGAACATGGCTCCATTCCCTGCAGCTGCTCTAATAAGATTTTAATTGCTGACACCAACATATTCCCTGATGCTATTTCAATACCTTAAATGAAACTACCTCTTAAAAAAGATTTCTGGACATCTAATGAAGGCAATCCCTTTCACTCATATAATCCTCCACCAAATGCTACCTTTTCAACACTGCTTTTGAACAGATACTGTACACACAATTCAGTAATGATCTCACAAGGATTTGATATAAGACAGAGAAATTATTCTTACCTATTTGGCCAGGCTCTCCTGGTGGACCAGGCAGACCTGGAACCCCAGGGCTTCCGTCTGTTCCATCGTCACCTGGAGGACCACGGTACCCTTTTGGGCCAGGAAATCCTCCACCCGGCAGGCCTGTTTCTCCTGGGAAGCCCTTTGGGCCTAATTCTCCTGGGTAACCAGGATCCCCAGGGAGACCTCTGATACCATCACCCTGTGGGAAGTGGGAAATGAATATACTTCTGCCTTTGCTGCGAAAGAAACAAAACTCAGGGTTGAACTACTCTCACAGAATGACAGAATCACAGAATCCCAAGGTTGGAAAGGACCTACAAGATCATCCAGTCCAACCATCCACTGATCACCAATAGTTCTCACTAAACCATGTTCCCACAGCGCAATGTCCAAACCTTCCTTTAACACCTCCAGGGTTGGTGACTCCACCACCTCTCTGGGCAGCCCATTCCAGTGCCTGACCACTCTTTCAGAAGAGTACTATTTCCTAATGTCCAGCCTGAATCTCTCCTGGTGCAGCTTGAAGCCATTCCCTCTAGTTTTATCACTAGTTACACGAGAGAAGAGGCTGACCCCCTGCTCAGTACAACCTCCCTTCAGGTACTTATAGAGAGCAATAAGGTCTTCCCTGAGCCTCCTCTTCTCCAGGCTGAACAATCCCAGCTCCTTCAGCCTCTCCTCATAAGGCCTGTGCTCCAGACCCCTCACCAGCTTTATCACCCTTCTTAGAACACACTACAAGGCCTCAAAGTCTTTCTTGCAGTGTGGGCACTCATGAATAGCATCTTATAGGCAGCTATTCCTTATGTATTGCATCCCAGCTTTTTAAAGCAAAACTGCAAATACAATATATTTGGAATAATTAGACATTATTTTAGACCCCCACAGCAGAAAAGGCATGAGAGAAGCACTCTTAGAGGGAGCATTCCCCTAAAAAGGCTGGCCAATGAAGAACATATGGGAAATATGAGTCACTGCTGTGGACAGCCTTACTACCCTTTCTGAAATGCTGTGAGTGGATATGAGGGAAAGCATACACATCACTAGAGGTGCATGAAAGTTAGTTCTGGTGTGGCATTTAATTCTCAGATCTTGACAGAAGCTGATATAAAATTGTGCCCAAGTGGGCAGAACTTTCTTAGTCTGTTACTCTAGTGATGTTACTGCAACATGTTTAGAACATCACCAGAAAATGTTCCCATCCACAGATTTAATAAAAAGTACCACTTTTACTAGTAGTCAAACCCACTGTGGGCCACACTGGATGACAAAGCTCTGGTCCATCCTCCTATATGATGCAAGAAACCAGTGGTGGAAAGCAACATTTGTGATAGGTGATGAGGTATTATCAAGCAAGTAAATAATGATGTGACCTACATTTTGGGGATGGAAACTATTAACTCCCTCATATCAAAATGCCACACACAATCTATAGATAATAAACTACTAATTATCACAAATAAACCACTTACATAAAATTGGCCTAAATGGGTTATACACTACTACTTATGTATTTAAATAAAATTGAAATAGAAGTATAAGGTGGTTCTAAAGAATCTGAGGGTAAAACTGATATTTAGTATATCAATAATCAGCAAGGCCAGTTTAGTTATGCATCATCATCTGTGTGTGAAGGGCAGCCTGATGATCATTAATCCTCAGAATTAAATGTATTAGTAATTGAGTATGGCGGAAATGATTTAGCTTTGTTTCCAACTTGGACAAAAGGATGTTGAATGTTGTGGGAGACTGTGTGAAAGACCTTGCAGAAGTCTAGACATGATGCAAGTGGCTCTTTCCTTGTGCACTGATGGAGTCATGCCATCATAGAAGGCCACAAGGCTGTTCAGACAGGACCTGCCCTCGGTGAAGCCATACTTGTTGTCTTGTATCACCTGCCTGTATTCCATGTGCCTTAGCAAAGCTTCCAGGAGGATCTGTTCCATGATCTTCCCCAGCACCGAAGTAAGGCTGACAGGTCAGTAGTTCCCTGGGTCGTCCTTTCTTCCCTTCTTAAAATTTGCTACTTACCGGAAGGCCAGGCAGTCCTGGTAAACCATCTAATCCATCTCTGCCTGGGAAACCATCTTCCCCTCTGATACCAGGAAGTCCAGGATCTCCTCGGATTCCTTTGGTGCCTAAAGCAGACCTTTCATTGGGAAACTGCTCTTTCACAAAAGGCATAAATAATTGCAAAATACATGTGACATGAATTTTTACTCTACCTTTAGTAGTTATGTATATAGAATCTCCCTTTTCTCCTTTTGGTCCAGGAAATCCTTCTTGGCCCGATTGTCCCTGGCATTACACAAATCAGAAAAAAAAACAAAACAAAACAAAACAAGAAAACCCTCAAAAACACAAAATAAAACCACTTAACAAATAATTATCCAGATTTGTGGTTTCACTGTCCTGCTTAAACAAACAAGCAAACCATGACGGTAATGCTTTCCTATTACTCTCTGTATGATTTCTTCTTCAGTAATCCTATTCTTGTGCCTGAATCCTTATTAACTTGCTTAACTAGGATCAACGCCCATATGGCACGGTAGGGGTGCTTCTACACGAGGATAGCATTAGGAGATCTGTGGCTTATCATAAGATCAAGTCCTATAGATGACTACAGCTGGAGAACTGCATGAGAGAAAATGTAGTAAATTACTTATTGTTTGCCAGGAAGGAAATTGCTGTAAGCAACACTTTGGCACCATGGTAACAAAACTCTGGGTTATATTTACCTGCATTTTCTCTTTCCCAGTCTAAAAAAGATGACAGCTGCACGGCTGGCAGTGGACTGTGATTCACAGCACCACTGTAGATTTGAAAAGCAGCATTTTCCTCATTTATGAGAGGAAGGAACTTAGGCATAGAGTGATTAAGTGAACTACCCCAAACCGCAGCCCCATAGGAAAGATTTTGGTTGAAAGGGACAGCTGGAGGCCCCCACTCCAACCTGCTGCTCAAAGCTAAAGCAGGTTGCTCAGGGCCTTGTCCAGTCAAGATTTAAAGTCTCCAAGGAGGGAGATTTCCTCTCTTGCTAAGGTAAGCTGTGATGAGGCTAAGGATGAGTCTTTGGCATTCCTTGGTATAGTGCACAATTCTCCTCAACAGCCCAGCTGAAAATGGCACTACTAGATTTCTCCACGAGAACTCTGAGTTACTGGACTGAATGCATGGCAGATGCCAAGGGCTCAACATTACAGATTCATTTAGTGCTGACTGTTCTAACCCAGTTACCTATAGTTCTGAAAAAACGTATTCATGCATACTAAAATATAAGCCACTATGTTTTCCCCATCTTCCTCTTACTGAATTTCAGTGCACACAATATATGAAGGGAATGTCTGATGCATTTATTTTTTCTCTGAAATACTCCTTTGCCACAATTACTTAATTTGATTTCTTTTCCATCACTGTCTTTCATTGGCATTTTCCAAGCATTTCTTAGGTGAAAAGCATGTGTGGAAATGGAAAGTCATCTCAAGAATATAGGTTCACACTTCTATAAGTCTAAAGTGGGAGAACAAATTTGAGTGAAGGGATCTGTCTGTGTTTAGCTCCTGCATTTTAGTGAAGCCACGTCTATATAACCCTGTAGAGATTCTTCTTCAGTACAATGCTTTTTATAAGCCAAATCTGAAGAACTTAATACAATACTGAATTACGTCACTGACTTTATAACTGCAGAAATTTTCAGCAATAGCACTGCACTGTATTATGTTCACTTTGTTATTTGTTGCTTTCTAGGCTTAAATGTGTACCATGCAGTTTAGCCCATGAGTGTTTTCAAAATGGCTTAGAGCTATTTCTAATTTCTCTTTCTCCACAGAAAAGAATGCCCATTGCTTGGGATATAGACGTATATACTTATAGTAAGTTCACATAGATCTGATCTAAATTAAATATATTGATTTTCTATAAAGGTAACTTGTTGAACGTGTTAAGAAAATTATGGACTCACTTCTGCTAAGCATATGGACTAAGAATAATTAAAGTAATTTGTTTTATGGTGAATTTGTGGCAGACCAGAAGCTGAGATAAAGTCAGGGCTTTGCTGCTGAGTATTCTACTATGATATGACATGTCTATATGTGTCTTAAGTCTACAGTAACTTAAATTCTGGGATGAAGATAATACAGTTATTATTATTTCAAAGGCAAAAAAAAAACCAAACCTGCAGAACTTGTAAAAATTAATCAAAGTTTCCACAATGAACATTTCAAAATGTGGCTTTTTAGAGCTTTTTATTTTCTAAAAGAAAAATCCAAACTCTAACTAGATGCAAGTAGTTTTTTTTTTAATGTTCAGAAAGCCAGAATTTCTGACTGAAAGCATTTTATTTGCTCTGACATCTCTATACAAACAAAATCAGTTTTGGGTTAGCTTAACTAAAATCTTACTCTAAAATCTTGAGTTTTAACTGTGAGAAAACATAAACTAGTTGGGATAACAAAAATATAGCACCTTTAGCAGTAAATATTAGCAAAACACTCTTATCAGGGTTATTGACAGTGTTTTTTTAGGAAAAAGTTATGTATTTGTAACCAAGAATCTCACATTTAATATTTGACATTTGCCCCTTATTAGAAACAATTTGAAGGAACTAATGAAATTGTTTCCCTTCATAATCAGTGCTGTAGTTTTGCTGAAACAGCTTTGTTTAAATGGAAAGTGCATTTTATGTGGAAATCTTTTGCTCTTCCCACAGTAAACTATTTTAATTCTCATCTTAGCAACTTTTAGCTCTTGCTATTTTGTAGCAATCTGAAAACTATGGAAGTGGCATAAAAGAAAATAAATTGTACTTTTCATCATTTTTCTTCTCATGGAGAATAGCTGGTTTTTATTTGTAACAGATGTACAAAACTATGCATTAAAGAAACAAGCATCTTACTTTTGCTCCAGCGTAGCCAGGAATACCATGTGGACCTTGATCACCAGGTTCTCCTTTTCTCCCAGGCTGGCCAGGGGTTCCTGGAAAACCAGGAGGGCCACGGGGGCCAGTAGAGCCCCTTCTGAGTTCATCACTCAAAAGGCATGTACTGCAGTCACCTTCTTCGCCTAAGGAAGCGGATTGGAAAGAAAACTGTCACAACAAACACTTTCAACCCTTTATACACACATATATACCTCAAGTATTTGAGAAAATCACTTTTTTTTTTCCTTTTAAGAAACAAAATCAATGTTTACTTGTGGTATTAGCCTCCGATCAAATTCATTGGTCCCCGAGCATGTCATAATTAGACTTAATTAAAACTTAAAACAATGGAAGTTTTACACAACGCATAACAGCAGATCATTTTTTGAGTTATTTATTATAACCTACCTTTAGGTCCTCTTTGTCCTCGTGGCCCAGGAAAACCTTGTGCACCAGGTCTACCTGGTGTCCCTTCTTGTCCTTTTAATCCAAAGAGAGAACCTAGAAGCACAATAGAGTAAGAAGATACATTAATGTACTGTAAATTAACGTACTGCTTCTCCTTATTCCACCTTATTCAAGTCGGATTACATCTGATCTTTTCTGTTTCTCTTTAAGTCTTTGACTGTATAACTCAGCTGTTATTAAATCCTCTTTCCTTGTTGTTTCTTCCCCTCCTCACAGCTTCCCAAACCCATTCTCAGTAACTCCCATTTGTGTGTTAATGGTCCCTTACCGTCTTACTTATGCAAGCTTCATCTTCATCCCTCTCTGTACTAGTACAGCCACTTACTTCAGAGGGGCCACTTGCTTGTCTCTGCATTCCCAAGCCTTACTTGCTTTCATCTTCTAGCAAAGAATTCATATTTTCTATTTCTCAGCATTGAAGTTCCACCCAGACCAGCTTGCCTGGATTGTTGCTCCCCCTAGCCATGCCTGCACTGCAGAACTCCAGTGACCAGTAACTGAGTGGAGCACGTGGATTTCCTTGTCTGGAAACCAGTATGAGGGAATGTCTCATGTCTTATTTTGGTAGGTTCAGGACATGCCTTGACACATATACAGCCCCAGGACCTAAGTCTTAGACTGTGGGCATGACCTTTGAAACTTCTGGTTACAGCTCTCTCTTCCTTGTTACTTCTCTACCTGCTTTGGTAGATGATTCTATCTATTCTTTGGTCTCTTTCACCCTTAATTCCTTTGTTTTTAACTCTCGGCACAACACGGTTTGCAGTACCACACACCACCTGCTCTGGATTACTTCCTGCAATCCTTTTCTCCACTCCTGCTCTTGCACTGCTGTGTGGTGCATTTCACAGAGACAAATGCAGTCTGAATTAGAAGTTGCCTCTGGAAAGCACCTAGTCCAATGTTCTTCTCCAAACAGGGCTAACCTCAGTTGCTCAGGGCCTTATTCAGCTGAGTACTGCGTATCCCCAAAGATCAACAGCCTACCACCACTCTGGGCAAACTGTTCCGCCATCTGACCACAGATGTGAAAAAGTTTTCACAGAGTGAAAAAGTTCTTCCTATCATCTGAGTAGAATTTCCCTTGTGAAAACTTATGAACATTCCTTCTTGCCCTGCTGCTTGTACTCCTCAGTCAGTGCATCTGGTTCCATTTTCACTGTGACCTCCTGAGAGAGAGGTACACAAAAATAGCAGTAAGATTCCTCTTAGCACTTTTCTTCTCCAGGCTAAGGAAGAAACCCAGCTCTCACAGCCACCCACTCTCTGACTTCTGCTTCAGATCCCTAACCATCTGGATGACCATTTGTAAGACTTCTTGGTATTCTTGGACTGGGGGAGACAAAAAATAAACTTTTCCACAACTTACCATTTTAACCTCTGTTTGCTAAATTCAACATATACAGTCAGTGTCCTCCATGCCAGACCCTTCTCAGTCTAGCACACTTACTGGGACACTCTTCCCAGAGTACTGGTACATAAAATTCATTTGAAACTTGAGCTGTGAAAATTCTTTTTACCAGAGCAGAATGCAAGTCTAAGAACAGAATGCTCATCTCTCCACCAGCCCAAAACAGACCTCTTTTTCAAATTTTTCCAGGAATGTCTGAAAGTCATGCAAAACCTTCTTCATCAGTGAGCATACATCACTCCTATCCAATGTGTCTTTCCACCACCCACTCTGTTTCATTCCCTCAATCTTCTTTTCCACTTTGTCTTGTCAACTGTTATCTTTAAAATAAGCAATGATGTTCCCGAGTTCTCAACACCTCTTCTTGCACTCACCTGGAGTTCCAGGGGGACCAGGTGGACCACGGAGTCCTGGTTCGCCATGTTTACCTGGAAACCCAGGCGGGCCTGCTTGATAAGCAGGAGATCCTTCTTCACCTTTTTCACCTTTTGGTCCTATCTCTCCAGGTAAGCCTGGCTTATCTGCATCTCCTGAAACAGAACCAGGGAAGAAACTCAGAAGAATTTCTTACCAGTACTGCACAAAGAGCTGTAAGGTAACAGAAGGGACTGTTCCTACAATTGCATGTAGCAAGCAGGGAAAAATGGAGACGTTTAAGTGTGTAACAAAAAGTGTAACTGCACTTTTCACTTGGGCAAATCAACAGTTGGTCCTGAAGCAAGGTTCTGCCATCACCTCTACCTCAGTTGTTTTGCAAAGTCTCACTGGGACCAAAGCAGGTACATAAAATGCACCTTTCGGTTTTTGCTACTGCAGTTAGTTACTTATCACACTGCACTGCATGTTTCACCAACTGTACATGCATTTTCTCCACTTCACTCCCATACCAGTTAAAACTTGTTAAATTGCTGGAACAAGTGTTACTGGGATATTACCATCAGAGAATCCTGGAATACCAGGCAGCCCACGATCACCCTGCTCTCCTGGTTCTCCCTGGAGTCCAGAAGCACCTGGAAAGCCTGGATCACCTCTTACACCTGAAAGACAACCCCAATACCACAAAACATGTTAGTGTGATGCTGTTTGTGACCATTAAGTGATGACCTGTGGTACTCTGCAGATTGCTTAACTCCTAAAATGGTTAAATTAGGAACTTCACCTGCTTTGGAATATTACAATTCACCATTATTTCTTAAAGGCAGCTTTAGAAATACAGAAATGTAGTACTTCATGCTATCTTAGTGCAAATAAACAAGTATATCAGAGAGATTTCTGTAAAGTCCTAATATCTGGAAGCCGAGCATACCCTGGAATAGGAATGGTGTAGAGCCACGAAGCCAAGGCAGAAGATCTCTGAACTCTTTCCAGTATGCTCCTAGAACTACACTTCTCCTGATGAGCTTTCTGAGGATAACCCCTCCTTTTCCCTACAAGAATTTGCCATTATAACGATGTGTGAAATATGAACTTTGCTCTACTTTACTGTACCAGAAGCATCTGCCTTGGCCCAACTATTGCATGAGGAAAGTATTGTCCTTTTGTCAAAGGCACAGGATATTCCATCACCTTGCCTGCTTCGTCCTCTCTCCACAAAGCTTCTCCTGCTCCTAAAGGCTTGGCAGGTATTCTGAGTGATTTAAACAGTGTTTATCCGTTCTCTCTAGGAGGAAGAGAACTATTCACTATTGCCAGACGCTCTTGCATTCAGTAAGACTAGAAAACTCTACAATGTAAGGATGCAGCATGGTGTAACAGCAAGTGATCATCCTTCCTGCTAGTGCTTTCCTAGGAAGTTTTGGCCTTGGCAAACTTTTATCACTTTCTGTGTGTTTGTAGTCTGGCCAAGCAGATCCACCACAGCCCTACAGGGCAGCCGGCTGCGAGCACTACAAATGATTTCTGCATTTTATCCAGAGACTATGAAATAAGACCCAGAATACAGACTCTCCCTTTCTTCTTTTCATTGGACACATTTTTTTCTTTATTTTTTTCTTTATTTTTTTTTTCTCTGTGCACTCAGGAATGTATGGATGTGTTTTGTACAGCAATCTGGCTTCAGCAGGATAGACAAAGAAGCCATCTGCCTGCAAAAAGGTAACTAGGGCACTCTTTCGTTATACATTTTGGACAAGTTAAGCAGTCCAAAGTTTTTAAGGAGTTGAATTCTCTGGCTTTAATGCTTTTGATCTATGTAGCAGGTGATAAAACCTGGCTAAGATACACAGTCTAAGCAAAGAAGACATACCTTTTCTTGGAATGCGGTAAGGAACATAGGCAGGTGGTCCTGGAGGACCCATCTCACCCTGCTCCCCCTGTTAACAGAAGTTGAAGCATCATATTTAAGCATATTATTCTGGGGAATTTCTTTTAAAATGGAAACACAAAGAACCAAAATTCCAAAAGCACTGACACAGCTTTTAAGAAATGTGAGCCATTTCAGTCAATAAACGACTTAACTGCTACTACAGTAACAAGGAACACTTTGATTGCTACTACATCGTGGAGAAGAGAAATTACACCTGGATTATCACTTCTGGCAAATGGAAGTAAAGCAGTACCTTGCCTCCTCTAGGACCATATTGACCTGGTTGGCCATCCAATCCTGGAAAACCCTGTAATACACATAAAAATGGTTGACGTTTCCTTTATCAGAAAGACAATTAAATTTGTTATCTGCAGCAGTTGTCTTCCTCTGATGTTACAGTGAGAAGTATGTAATAGAGCTGAGCAGTTTGTTTCCCTGGGGTGTAGCAATTCAGGCAATGCCATTACAGAGTCACAGAGTCATACAAAGTCACAGAATTGCAGGGATTGGAAGGGACCTCTAGAGATCATTGAGTCCAACCCCCCCAAAAAGCCTTATTTTAACCTTACCTGAAAGATCCATCTGCTAAATCATCTATTTGTTTCTATATGAAAGCAAGAAATCTATCTAAAAACACAGTGTGGAAAAACTACCTGGCATCACTGAGAATAGTATTTCTCCTGGAAATAGCTAGAAAAGTTCTGACATAATCCACAATGCTGTTGCATAAAGACAGATAAAAACAGCAGTCACATTACACACTGATATTTAGTGCATTAGAAACATAAGTGGATGTGTTCAGTCAGTACTTGGAAATAATCTTTCTTTCCATATTAATACTCCTTTATGTGATGAAAATCCTACAAGGATCATAAGCAAAAGAAAGAAAACAAATGATCAAGCAAAAATCTCCATGCAAATTTTAAAAATAATGGGATACTTGTAATTTATAAGTTGAGCATTTTAGCACGTCCTGCTGTTTTCTGCAGGTTCATTTCCAGAATGGTTGTAATCACCAATCAGCAAGGAGCAGTGAGTTATTTACAAATTCACTCATGTATGCGAGCACAGAAGGCAAGCATTCCTTACAAAAAGCAAGATGATTAGGCTACTTTATTTCTGATTAAAATTCTAATAACAAGATGTTCACCAATTATTCAATCAAACGTCCCAAATCTACAGTTTTGCAAGCTTGCACATCTTCTGTCCCATCAATCTGTGGGGCTGTATAGTTACGGAAAGTGCTGACATACCGAGTAACTTGAAGCACCAGGGCACAGAGTTACACATTACGAGAAGCACAGCCCAGTTCTGTTCCTTTTGAAACCAGCAGTGTATGTGCTGACATTTAATACCAGGTCAGGCTGCCCCAGGGCCCATCCAGCCTGCCCTTAAACACCTGCAGGGACAGGGCATTATGGAGGTGATGCTCCGTTTCCCAATGGGTTTTGCTAATTCTGCTCTTCAGGTTTCAGTAGTCTCAGTTTCATTAAGTCTCCTCGTGCTTCAATGTTCCATCTGTTAGATCAAATCTATCTCTCATCAAAGGCTGGAGGGATCTGCTGTGGCACAGGCTTTTGTGCTGCTGCTGATAGTGCAGACAGATGGAGCACCTACACTTGCACATCCCCTTAGACACTGAAGGGTGGGAGAAGAGAAAGATGGTCATTGCTGGTCAACAGCATGGAACTGTGAGGGGCAACTGGGGATTAGGGAAAGAGTCTACACCAGAAGGCAGTGGGCATGGAGCAGGTTACCCAAAGCAGTGGACACAGCACTGAGCTTGCCAGAGTTCAAGAAGCCTCTGGACTATGTTCTTGGACATAAGGTCTGACTTTTGTTTGTTTCTGGTGGGGCCAGGACTCAATGATCCTTATGAGTCCTTTCCACCTTGGGATATTCTATGATTCTATACAATGCATTCTGTCACATGAAGACATATTTCACATGCTGGAGGTGCACAGAAAAGAGCAGGTTTCATTGATGCTGATACAGAAAAAAAGAAGAATCTATGCATTTTATTCAGTTATTTTTGGGAACCTCTGCTCTCTACAGAAAATACTCATATGTACTCTGGAAAAGGACTAGTGTTAAAAAGGCAAGCTTTTAATAGAAAACAGTGGCTGGACTCTTTAACTGATACCAACTAAAGTAGTTTCACCAAAGCCAGAAGATTTGTAGAATTCACACTAGTTAGATTTAAAACAGCACCTCCTGAATTTCACAGTAGGAACAACTCCTACACAAAGTGAATATTTTCACAGTGGGCCCTTGAAGACGTTTACACAATTTTAAAGCCCTTGAAATTCCACAGCTCTCAGCAAGATACCACAAACAGAAGTGCATGCATCAGTGGCACCTACACGACAACCGTCAGAAAAAGTTAAGTACTAAGCATAAAGGCTCTTTACACTAGGTGGAGCTGGTGGTCTAGAAGTGCAGCCAGCAGCTTTCTGATTAAGAACTACTTCACCCAATGCAGGCAGACAGGGCAGCTATCCTCTCTTTTTAAAGAATCAAATCATTCAAAAAACGTTAGAAAAGGCGTTATCGTGAATAGCAAATCGAGCAGTTTATTCCCCTTCAAGCTTGTCCAAATCAATACACGTTTCACTAAAACTGTTGCCAAAACTCACTTTCAATAAAGGGAAGGCATCGAACATTTCTCACCAGAGCATGAACCTAAGTTGAGGTCAATCATTCGGTTTTAATGGACTTTGCATCGCTCTCTCCACATATGTATTTTAGATAGCATATTCCCTTCCACACCACCAGGTTTTGTCATCAATTCAAGAGCTGCACAACTGTTACTTTTCATGTATCTTGTACTTTAAATCCCTGTATTTCATGTTATTGCTGTTGTGCCTTGGTGGAAAGTCAAACGTGTAAACCAGTTAAAGATGGAGGAGCATGGGAAAGTCACACATCTCACAGTTATCTGAATATCTCACGGAATTAATTCCTAATTCTAATTGAAAAGGCCCTTTTCTGAGCATAAACAGAAAGTATGAGCTCTTCCTGGTCTGACAAAATGCAATTTTAAATATTTGGGTGTGTTTCCAAGGGGGCAAAGATTTAACTGGTGTATCTACCATTTCTTTCTTTCTTTCTTTTTTTTTTTCTAACTTTTGATATCCAAAATGTACCATAGACACAGATGTTAACCATGTTTGCAGCAAACTCTTCAAAATAACAACTTTCCGCATGTGGAAGAAAATTACAGATTTCATGGTAGTAATAATGGGAACAATGAAAATGACAGCTCATGATGCTTTTAAAACATGGTCCTGTTGTAAAACAGACTTTAATTAGAGAACTGTTTTTTTTCACACTTATGAGGAAATGAACTGACCCAAAATTGCAATGATATTTTAATCCAGATGATGCTTGTTAGACTACAGTTGGTATAATTATATGCAGAATTTGTCTTCTGCAGCCTTCTCTTCAGACAGATTGCCTACATGTGTGTTGGAAAAAACAGTTGTATGAAATACTTACTCTTTCTCCACTAAGTCCTGGAAAACCATCGTTACCAGGCAGTCCCTATGAAAGGACATTAAAGTTAGTAAAACAAGAAATGAATTAATAACAGATTCTTTATTTCTTAGATAGAATAAATATGACAATTATTTTGAAAAAATAATTTAAAACTAAAACTTGCTCTTAGAATTCAGGTATTTTTTCAATGTGACTAAGGCATGATGCTAACAGAAAATATCTGACATTTAACCAGGTATTTAATTTTTATCTTCTTCTTAATCAATCAATTGTAAATTGACCATGAAGATGCTGAGCTTTCAAAAATGTCTGAGATTTTTAAAAAAATATATGCTGACTACTGTTACTCTGTTCAAGCACTTTAGAAACAATGCCCCCACAAAGCATTCATACACGCCACAGGTAACAGTATTCACATTAGCTTTCTTCTGGGGTCAGTGGACTGACTGGGACTGGAGTCAAACTTGTATTTGTTAACCACAGTTTAAAAAGGGTTAGGGTGGAAACAGTGAAATGAAGTCCATCCTGCAGACCAGTGGAGGAGCAGTGGTAAATGAGCACAACTTTGGGTGAATGATGCAGGAGGGTGGAGGGTGGTGAGTCACGTGGGGCCCTTCTCCTGTTACCATTTTAAAAATATCATTTTTCCTTTCCCATACCAGGGAGTTCAAAGCTGGCCACAACTTGGAAGACATGGGCAGAAGAGCTCTCATTTCTGTGGCTTATTTTTCTGTGTTTTGCTCCTAAAGACAAAGTCTCGGCTTGGGCTTGCATATTCAGTAGCATGAATTTTACCTTCAATGAGCGACTCACCCTTTGTCCTGGGAAGCCCATTACCCCTTCTTCACCTTTTTCAGGAGTGAAGAGAAGTACACCCTAAGAAATATTATAGTCAGTTCAACATGTTTCTACATGATGTGCCAAAAAAAAAAAAAAGAGAGACTTCATGGAAGCTAAACAGAAGAAGATAACATCTCAACACATGTATGATTTTATTATGTCTGCATGTCAGAGAACTAATGTCCTTAGAGTGTGACATGCTTTCTTCATTACAATAACATGACCAGGACATTAGGGAGAGTACAAGGTTTTCTCTCTTATCATCTCCTTCTGTATTTCTTCCGCAGCTGTGACTTTAAACACAAGTCAAATCAGCTGTATGACCAAGTAAGCAATCCTGCTTATGCCCTAACTGTAGCTTGAGAGAGCTATTTGGCAACAATAGACATGGTACTGTCAGAAAAAAAGGGAGAAACATATCCCACTCTGTTACATCAGGACGAAAATCAGTGGTTTTCCTAATAGAGTCACAGCAAAATTCTGCATGCGTGAATTCTGACCAAGAGCAGAAAAACAGGATAGGAACTGCAGCAGGATTCAGACTGCAGCCTTCTCCCATAACCTCACTGGGAAGTTGACTAGACCATCTAAAAAAATAAAGGTCTGCAAAATGCCCAGTGAGGCATCCCTAATTGGTGAAGGCTGTATTTTAAACCACTCTGGGAAGTAAAAAAGAACCGCTCAATAACAAAGCTATTTAGACAGACTAGAGATTTCATGTGAGTTAACTAAACCACATTCAGTCAAGCTTGGTCGACAGCTCTAAATGATACAGCAACACATGGGATTACTTTCACAGTCAACAGACATATGAGGCCAAAAGTCTGCATGTGCTGGAGAGAATTTGGACAAAATTTAATGGAATTTAAAACAATTTTTAAACATAGTTGACCAGCAGTTGTAAAGAGATCTATTGATAGCTAAGGCTAAAATTAAAAAATGTGTGAGGGAAAATCTTAGTTTGGTTAACCAGTAGAAGAATGATGGATTCTTCACTGTGGAATTCTTAGACATCATATTACTGTTAAGGTTTTCTAAAGCATCAAAACTAGTGCTCCTGATAATGTTGCTCCAAAATTGGATCACATCACGTCAATGAAGAATACACTAACATTAATTCGGATTTATTTGTTTCCAGTATTCTCCACTTACTGGAAATCCAGCTTCCCCTTTTTGTCCAGGCTCTCCTCTTTCACCCTGGAAATGAAGAAAAATGTTCAGATATTTTAGGCATTCACATTTTAATAACTTCCAAAATAACTTTTCATAACTTTTTTTTTTTTTTTTTAAAATACACAGTGAAAAACATTCAAGAGAAACACCACCACCCTTTTGCTCTTACTGGTAAACTTGTCATATGGAAAGTCTGTTTTCTTTAAAAAAAAAAAAAAAAAAAGAAAAAGTTTTTTTTTGTATATTTGATAATTTTCCTGAAGTTGTCTCTAGGGATTTGAACACCTTAGGATATTATCAGGCCTGTTTGTAAGATGCCTGGGTGAGGTGCGCACCTTATCTCAGATTTACTTATTGCTTATCTGTGAATTATCTGATCAGATGGTAGTAATTCCTTTAGGACAAGACAAATCACAACCTAATATCAACTCACTATATCTGTCTCTCCATTGACTATAAAGGCCATCCAGAGAAGTAGCTCAAATGCAAAGATCTCTCCTTAGTGAAGGAAATTCCAGATTGGCACCAAGGACATCTTTAGATCTTTCAGTATCACACCAGTTTATTTATCTGTCCATAGAAATGCTATGAGCCATGTGAACTTTATATCTCCAAATTCAGGACTAAGGACTACTTACTGGTCTGGATTGGTGTTCAACATAGAAAATGTTTATACGGAGCATGAGAATTTCTGTTTCTAACAGAAATAAGAGATGACAATAAGTCGTATCTTTCTGTAGAGGATTTATTCAACATGAATGGACAAGCCTTAACTGTAGATATATAAACATCTGCACCACAGAGACACCTTACATACATACATACATGTATATAAATATACACAACAGCTCAGGTTGCTTCCATGAAGATTAGTTTCTTACAGCATGATAATTTCATTCATCATTACAGAGAATGAGATACTAAACAATTTTTCAGCTGGTATTTCTGCTTGTAGAATCAGAAGACATCAGTGATTGCCAGTAGTTGCATACTAGGGTTTATTTAAACAGAAAGAACAAGTTTGCTAAGGCAGCTCTAGTCATTGTTTATGAGAAGTGCTTTCTGAGTAGCCACCATAGCTGCAATAAATACCTTAGGATTCAAGCTACAGGAAAGCAGCAAATTTGTCTTGAAGTACTCATTTATTCTAAGCACAGTATCTAAAAGCACATTGCTATGATATTTTAGTTTTGATACTGCTAAGCTCTCTTAATTCTTCTTGCATTTTGGCAAAGTATTCTGTACTTACTTTGTGTTTGTCAGTGGGGACACCAATCAGTTCTCTTGTGGGAAGCCCAGGTGGACCTGGAGGACCTGGGGCGCCCTGAAGGAAAAACATAAAGGTATGTCTACTAACAGTTGCAATACTTTGCCAAGTTGTTGGTCTGCACAGGGTGATGAGTGGAATGGAAGATGAATAGAAAAAGAGTAATGCAGATATTCCCCTGCTAAAAATAAATTTCTAAATCTCTAAATAAATTGATGGCAAGAAACAAATTCATTTTGTACTGGGATAAACGAATATGAATAGATACTTGCTCTTGCCATGTATGTTTCCAGAATAAGTGTAAAGGGTATTGCTTTATACAAGGAAGTCTGGCTCTATACATTTCATACTCTGTCTTGGTATAAATAGGGCGCAGTTAGACCAGGACAAGCAGAAGTTAGTTCAGCTATGACATTTGTTATGCAGATTATCGTTAATTTCAAAGCTATACATGTTTGTTTTTCCATTAAAGTCATGTAATAAAATCACAAATTAAGAGAGCATTCAAAATAGATTCCTTAATAAATAGCAAACCGTATCAACCCGCCCTTCTGTAGTGATACTAATTCATTAGTTTTCCCTTACCTGTTCACCTTTTTCTCCATAAAAGCCAAGACCTCTGTTGCCCTGCAAAAGCAATAGGTCAGGGTTTACAAAAAGTACAGCTCTGCTTTCTAATGTAAAGTTTAAATTCGAACATTCTGAAAGGGCTGTTCAGATTTAGAATTCTGTCAGATGCAACTGAAGAAATGTAGTCAAGTAATTGTCTAGTTTTAACTTAGAGGAATTTTAGAGAACTGAAAAATATTTTCACAGAACTAAACATTTAGATGACTTTAATTGAAATCTCATGATACCAATGTTAACAGACTTTGAGTCATTCTGAATAACAACCAAACACCTCTTCTGGAAATTTTTTAGTGGACACTAAATAAAAATACTCAGGTGAGTCAGAAAAATTAACTGATATGTATTTTTTTCAGCTGAGATCTAGTCAAATATTGTACAGATGGCCAAGTTTCTCTGCTCATGGGAAGCCACTGTGACTACAGTAGCAAATAAAATCTGGCTCTAGAACTGGTTTAATTGTTTCGGAGCAGCTGATCCAGCGTAGGATTAACTTTCTGTGGTATGCAGCCAACACAAAAAGTCTTGTGCTACACAGCCTTTGGAGCAGCCCGTGGTTCTTTATTTTACTGCCTTCAAGTCAGTCTTGGATAAACGTTAGCAACACAAAATCAACAGTAATGACTTAGAAACAAAGACTTACTTGTGGTCCTTGCGGTCCTGGGGGCCCTGGTGGTCCCTAGAGAAACACAACAGGGGGGAGAAAGTTACTTGTTGCTTGGTAATCAATGCATGCAGGAGCTCAGTTACTCTGTGCTGGAAATAAAAGTCTGTATTTGGAAGGCAGTGTATTCCTTAGCACTTAGTGTACCAACATCACCACATAAACAGTATCACTGCTCTGAAAAATACTCTTCTAAGTCATACAATAACCTCTCCTAACAAAGTCTCCTAGCTTAGACATAATTAAATTCCATTTTTTATTTCAAGCAATAAGAACTTACGCTTTTGGATCCTGACTTGTTTTATGTTCATACCTAGACTAGACACAACACACTAGACTGGTGTTTTGATACAGCATCGGTGTGCAAAGGCTGCTGAACCAGCATTAGCATCTTAGATTACCAATTTAATGTTGTACAGAATAGTATCAAAGGAAAATTGTGAGAAATGAAACTGTAACAAAGAAAATGCTGCCACAGTTTTACAGAACAAGTAGTAGGAAAGCTATTAATTGGAAAGATAACTTGCATTGCCTCAGTTAATTATGGTAGTTAACAGGCTTCAGTGAGCTCTAAACTCTCAAAAAAAAGTCAGTGGGAGAGGTGGGATGAATAAGAAGCATGAACTTTCCAGAGAAGAAGATGGTGAATAAGAAGAATAATAAAAGAGAGCTGCAGATGGATCTGTCTACCTGTGGAGCCCCAGGGTGGTGCAACTTGTGTTATGAAAAATCAATCCCAACTTGCAAAAGTAAATCATAATTTTCTGGCAAGAACTGTACTTGCTATGTATTTCTGTCCTGCTCTGTATCTTCATGTGAATAAACTACAGTCTTGATCTGTTTTGATTAGAGAAGCAGTCTACGAGCCATTGCCTGATCTACAGGTAAGATGCACTGTGCAGGCATCCACTTGGAAGCTCTGCAGTAACTTGGGGTAGCCACATTCATCTTCATGTGGGGTCTAAGATTCAAGGGCAGTACAAACCTGGAAGCATTTCCTAAGTCCTTCCCAAAGGAGAATCACAGCTTTAGAGATTACAAAGATGTATCAGTTTTATTAAGAGTGGGAGATAGTGGGGATGCATCTACAGTGGCAGTGTTCAAAAGAGATGTTGCCATGACTGCATGACTGCAATCATGGGTTGCACCACAGTGTACAGGGAGAATACAAGTCATTGCAGGCTTTGTGAAGCTCATTAAATACAAGGATCCACTATAGAAAAACAGTAACTATGGAGATCTCACTTCAATACATCCAAAGGAGAAATATATGGCACAGCTTACTCCAGATGATATTACAGACACTGTGGAAAATGAACTTCGGGAAGGTTTAGCATGCTATGAACTTAGCCCTAGAATTTTTAAACACTGGTTTTTTTTGTTTGTTTATGTTTTTTTTTTGTCCCCCCCCCCCCCAATCAGTGATATAGAGCAGATTTAAAATAAAATGTTGAAAAACAAGCAGGAAAAAAACAAAACAAATGCTATGAGGTTTCTTACAGGAAAATAAAGCAAGCCTAAAAGAATCGAAGTTCACTGAATCTGAACATCTGCTTTCACCCATAAAATCATTAACCGTGGCAAATAAGAAATGTAGAAAATGATATATGGAGAGAACACAATCTCCTCAGAGAAATATTCAGCAGCAGTTGTCAACTCCAATGCTGTAAGCATTGACTTTTGACAAAGATGACTGAAAAAAAAAGTTTAAAAATAAAATTGTTTTCTAAAAACTAATGAGAAAAGTTAACTAATGCTAATAAAATACCATTTACAAGCAGAAAAGCAATATATTTAGATTCTGATATCTTTGATAACTCACTGTGGAGGGTCACAGATACCTAAATGGGCTACATTCAATAATCTTTTCAAACAAGACACTCAAGGAAGTAAAAAAAAATGCAATATAAATCAAGAGCCTTGGGCAATACAAGGTGAAAGAAAGTACTGCAATTCTTTGTGCAATACTGATCTCTGTGGAATCAGTGTCTCAGTGCTTTTTCCAAGGTTTTGTATCCAACTACAGATACTTATTACTTTTAAACCTCTTTTTTCAGTTCATTTGCTACTTTGCAGTCTAATATAATGGATCTTGCTGACATGATTCTTCCACTAGGATAATTTCCTACAGAAAGTATTTTAAACATACTTACAGGTCTTCCTGGCGTTCCTCTTGGACCAATAGGTCCTTGAATACCCAGTGTACCTGGAGCTCCCTTTAAATAGAAAAACAAACACACAAGCATCAATTAATGTTGTTCTGATGACAGTTTCTACTGACAATTTATTATAATTTGCTACAATACTACTTACTGGAAAACCAGCAAATCCTGGATCCCCAGGCTCCCCCTAGAGAAAACAAAGAAGTAAAAAATGCATTAAACAAGATATACAAAATGAAATAAAATATTTTCTCATTACATTTTCTTATTACAAAAGGTATTTTAAATAATCATAACATATAATCTGTACAAATCCTTACATACAGACACATTCAATGAATATTTTGACATAATCTAACGTGTTTTATTGTAGATAGATTTTATACTTTCTACATACAATACAGTTGCAAACAATATATTTGGAGAGTACCAAATTGACTAGGGAAGTTAGGGAACCAAACTGCAAGGCTAAGATGGACAACGGACCATGTTTAGTTCATTCTGAAAGACCTAACCAGTAGCAGAATCAGAGATACAACGTTAGATGAAATGTACAAGACCATTTTTCATGAGTTGCATGGGAATTACCAAATCATTTTGATTCTCTTCTGAGTCACTGAAAAGCACTTGGAACATACTGTTTTCAGTGACCACATATTTTAACTGCAGTACATGTTGAAATGTTTTTGGAAATTGGATCCAAAAATGTTCTACTGCAAAGACTTTCCAACATCCATAAATAATGTGGTCTTCAGTCCAGACACTTTCAATCATTTTGAATAGCATCTTAAGTTTTTTTTATATGTAGTTTACTTGAGTTTAGTTAACGGAATAATTTGTGGAACCATTTCCTTTCTGAAATGGTACAGGTGCAAGTATCTATCTTTGACTGCAAAATACTTCAGCAGTTCTGTAATCATTACTAAGTGCTAACAAGTGATCGGAACTTAAGAAGTTTCTGAAAGGAGAAGATTCCATTAAAAAAACATAGGCTGCTACAAGTATGTCAACAGAAAGATATATTTTGGTACTCACCACTGGCACAAAATATATACAAATGAACTCAGCAGATCCATTAAGTGCTCAGAACAGATCAGGTGTATGCTTTGTATTTAAATTTGTCACAATTTATACTCTAACAGTTAATATAAGCACTTATTATTATCAGATATTTTCAAGTTATACAAAAGTATATATTTGAAAAAAGATACAAATAATTAAAAAATAAGTTTTATGGATTAGGATGTAAAAGCATCCATAAGAATACTTGGAGTTTCCTATAGAACCAAACAACACATGGAAGCGTATTTTATCACAGGTTAACCAAATTCCTTCATGGAAGTTATAAAGAAAGGGTGATAACATCAAATAGAATCATTTAATGGACAAAAGTTGAACACAGGAATGACTCTGCCACAAATGATATAAAGGTAGCCATTGAATAAAGAAGATAATACTTGAAGCACAATACTTGAACTTGTATTTAAAAGCACAATCTTACAAAAGAATTTCAGTTGACAGGTTATTGTATTTGCTCAACTGCATTTGCAGTCCATCCAGAAGGACTACAAGTCCTTGCAATGGGTGGACATTACCTCCATGAATATCAGATAGGCTTTGCTGTAATCAGAGAGCAGAAGCTGGCTGGAAAAACCCACAAAGAATCTAAGTGGGTCTCTGGGAACATTTCATCCGGAATGTGAGAAAAACTCACTCTCCACCATTTGACCTTGCTCAACACCTTGCTGAGCATGGATTGCTAATTCATCAGTTCACAGGGGCTGCACACGTACCCGATGTCGGCTGGCGATGTCCGGCGGTAGCACATAGGGCTCCCCCTTCTGGCCCTTTGGTCCTTGAACTCCCTGGTTGTGAGCGAAAAAGGAGTAAAATCTCATATTGTCTGCGAACACATCATCAGTTAAGAGTAATAAAAAATATTTGTAAGGCTTTTCATGAGTATGTACGCGTTACTGTTTAAAAGTAGAGACCGTGTTTAACTCTGGAAGTTTCTGATTTATAAACAAGCATGAACCCTCACGGTGTATAAGAACATGGATTTAAGATACAGGGAGAAGAACTCCCTGTTACTGTGATATTCCAGGAGCACATCACATCAAGAGGAGCAGCTCATCAGGGCTGACGTATGGACTAGTAAATCCAGGAGCTCCAGTGCTCACCTCAGCACGATCCTACCTACTGCTTCACAGAAAGCCAGTATGTTGGGTATGAGATAGGGGAGAAAAAAGTTACTTTCATCAGGAACTGTACAGTTTTCCTGAAGTAATCTCCCTGCAGGACCTGCGTGACAGGTATAGCTCTGAGCAGACCTGTCAGCCCTAAGAATTATGGGGCATGTCTGTGGTAGGTCCACAAGGATGCTTGATGCTCTGCTAGGCCAAAAGGGATCTCCTGTTCCATATGTTTCCAACACACACTTGTGTGAAATTCATTACAGTAGTCATCTTTGCTTCAGGTATTTATTTACTGTCAGCTACTTACAATGGTACCAGGGAAACCAGAGTGTCCTGGTGTTCCTGGGTCACCTGGGTCACCTACTGTCCCATTACAGCCATCATGACCTGGCTTCCCCCTTGATCCTGGCTGCCCTGGATGACCCTGTTGAGGAAAAAAAAAGTGTTTATCTATCCATCTGTTTCTAGTTTTCCTTTTCCTGTAGTCACACAGTATTTAGACATTCTCACATTAAGCCCAAGGCTTGGATCCATGGGAAACTATGATTTTCAAAGAAAGAAACAGACAGTGCCTTTTTTTAATATAGCTGCAGCTTGAACCATATGCCCCAGACAGCATGAGTAGTGAAGGACCTTTCAGAAAGGGTAAGAAAGCTATGTTCAATACAGTCTCTGTTAAGCAGAGAACTAAGCCAGATGAAACTTCTGTGCAGGGAGTCACCAAGAAATGGGTTTGTTCAGAATTTCAGTGCTTCATACTGGAGGAGTGGGAAGAAAGGTTTATTACTGGCTTTGAATAGCTTACAAGCTAGGAAAAAATCAGTGATGTCTTTAGAGCTTGGTTGAGTGCCATGACAAAGCTGTAAGTACAGAGATGGGAAGAAACCAGACACTCAAACCAAGGGTGCTGAGAGCAATGTAGAAGCTCCACACTGAACCTCTGAGATACAGGAAAACAGGGAAAAGTTAATGGGTTTCCACTGCGCTACTGATGTTCACCTTAATTGCAGTTGCTACTGGTTTGTATTGGGATTGATGGGAAGAAATTCTGCCCTTGATCATCTTTCTTCCAGGAGGCTCAGTCAGGAAAAACAGAAACTAACATAAACAGAATACATTTATTTCTTCTTTGCTACCTAAAGCAGGTTTTATCTTTGCTTCTGCTCCCTTGCTTAGAAGAAAAAGAAATTTGTCCATGCCATTTCATAGCTCCATCAAGTACCTGCATTACTCACTACGGAACAGAGTCAGGTTCACAGCATCCTTCCTCAGTTTCTAGACCCTAGAGACCCTAGATATCCTAGTACTCTGCTGTTGCAGTTCATATATGTGCCTATCTGCCTTCTGATGGTCAGTGTTACGCCTTGGCCTAGGAAAACTGGTTGGTGAACATAACCAAATGGGAAGGGCAAGGGCTTGAAGGCAGCACAAAATAAGCATGCAGATTCAAATAATATCTGAAGGTATTTATTCCTGACAATGCAATTGCAGAGGTTGTGGAAGCAGGACTAAGGAAGAAAACTTTCTCAGGCAGCAGAAGTTATCCAGACATAGTAACACAGAGCTTTGCAGGAGAATGATATGTTTGCAGGAGGACAGAGCACTGAAAAACAACTCAGTATGATGAAAATGTAAATGAAATTATAGGCTACAGAATTTTGCATAGGAATAGGAAAGAAGGTCTTCTGATTTTCTTCTAAGAGTGATAAGGAGAGAGAGGAGAGAGGAGAAAGCCCTGAAACTCAATACAGAGTTTTTCAGGAACAAAAAAGGGTGAAAGCTGAGTGGATGTGGATGTGTGGGTTGCAGAGCAAGGCCCTGGTGTCAGGGAGCACTACAAAGGAAACCCAAGCCTGGGAACTCTGTCCAGGGATTCCAATGACTCAGATTTCTTTGTTATTTTATGACACAAGATATAAAGAAGTGTAAGCTGGGAAAATACTGTGCTGTGAACTTTACCCAGTTTTCCTCTTTGAATGTTTCACATTCATGGACCTGGACAATTTGTTCAAAGTTAGATACTAAACAGTTTTTTTAAGATCATCTCATGCACGCTGTATGAGATACAAACCACACAACAATGGTTACAATTATTGGTCTTTCTACATGCTTTACAGCTTTGAAATAATTAAGGCATGACCCAGGGGTGTCCTTCGCTCACAAGCCTAAGAGATGTGAAGTACTTATCTCACACGTTATTCCCATAAAAGAACATACTTTTCTGGGTAATCTCTAGGGACACAGGGAATTTCCTTCCTTTTTTGTCTTTTTTTTTTTTTTACAAGGGGATTTCTCCATAAGACAAAGCAAACAGACCTTGATTATCAGAGGGAATGAGCAGGAGCACATATTTCATCCTGTTGTTGAGCATCTGCATTTCCACTTACTTCAGCAAATGCCCTTAGCTTAACACTGTGTATGTGGCTGATACAGAATTCAGACCAGACACATTAAGGTACAAAGGCTGCCACATTTGCAGCCTTTGTAAGGTACACAGTCTGCCATATTTGCAGTTGGTGGTTTCTTAAACATGAGGTAACCAGCTACTTACAGGAATGCCATCTGCCCCTGGGAAACCGGTGACTCCTCTTAGCCCCTAGAATGAAACAGCACAATTAAAATGATGTTCCATCCAGTACTTTGCTCATTAGCTAAAACACCTGATATTCAAAAGTTACCATTTCTCCTTTGGGTCCACTTATTCCTGGATGTCCTCTTTCACCTTTGTGACCTTTAGGACCTTGCAGTCCTGGGATTCCCATCAATCCCGGTGGTCCAGGGAGCCCCTGTGATCCAAGGTGTCCTGGCTGGCCCTGATAAAAGTAATAAAAAAGTATTTATTTAGGAACAGTTGAGATGCATGAAGCTCGGCTGCAGCTCAGCTTCCTTGCAGTGGAGTCAACCTCTTCAGAAGAAATGAAACACAGAACCTTTTTTATTCCAGTAGACCAGACACTTTGATGAAGGTAGACACCACACAAAGAAACTCCAACAAAGTGATCACGTTGTTTGGAAATGAAAGATCAAATCAATATTTGCTACATTCACTGCTACTCTATGAAAAAGGTGTTTTTTCTGGAATAAGCAGAATGACTTCTCAAGAGTGATTCTCAGTGGTATGAGACATAATCAGTTACACTCCAAGCAGTTAAAATATGCTTAACTGTGAAATCTGTTTATTGGGACATTTCTTACAAATGGAGACTGATATTTAATGGCATGAATTTCTGCCTGTCTGGGACAATACTTCTGTTTAACACTGGAGCCTGAAAGTGACTTGACACATATGCCATTAGGGCACCCACAAAGGTTGAGGGCTCCCTGTCATTAAAAGCTCCCTTCCAGCACTGGTTTGGTAGAACAGCCTTAATGACATTCTTAAGGTCACTTCAAACATTGTTTGAAAATCATCCTCTGTTGACTGCCAGCATCACAAAGCTCATCACAGGGAGAAAAAATCATTTTGAAATGACACAGTGGTGGTTTAGGTACTGGGGCTGTGACAGTATGGCTGAGATCTGTGAACCAATGTATTTGAAAACTGTTCCAAATGCAGGATCAGCAAAGGAACTTATGCTTTTTGTGCTCTGGGGTACCCATTGCACTAATGACACCAACAGTAAGTAGCCACGGTCTTTTCTGAAGAGAGATGCTTAAATAGCACAAAGCACCATTTACCAAAACACTCTAATTAAACAGATTCTAATGAAAGTATTTTAGAAATGCAAATAGATTTTCACAGACCACTCCCCAACAGCACCAGTAACTCATGAAGCAGCAGAACATGAACAAGCAGATATGTATTTATAAAACGAACTGATGCAAAAGTAACATTGTGGGATAAAATATATGGCACAGTTGCATAAAAATAGTGAAAATCTCTCCTATCCCACCTTCCTGGAGTAACTTACTTTTTTTTTCCCACTCACATCTGTGCCTGGAAAGAAAGACCTAAAAGATGTCCCTATCGAAGGACGCTTTGAATGTTCTGTGTTCAATTCCATTAGATGTAATTGAGATGGGAGGAATAAAAGAGGGCAGTGTGGAGACTCAAAGAAATGAACCTGAAGATATCCATTTTATTTGTATTCAGAAAGCAGTACTCAAGCCAATGCACGTTGTTTTCTGATTTTATGCAAACTTTTATGCTCCTAATAAGGGATAGCCCCAGTTGAGACACAATTTAAACATTTCATTTTCAACAATCTATATATAACTATATTTTATATATGCTGTAGTTGTCTTATCAGAAAGTCCAAAATAAATACCAGGACTTAAACATAGTGTACTTCTAGTTAAAACAAACAAACAAACAATCAACAACAACAGAAAAACAATCTATTTTCCACACTTGTTTAGTGAAAAAATGCTGTAACAACAGTTTGAGTACGTTTTTATATTTTAAGACCCATGTATTACATCAAACAAGTCCCTCCTAAGGACATGAGATAACCAAATTCTGTACAAAACTCAGTGAATTCTTCTTTCTTGTAAAAAGTCTAGGAATGAGCCAGTATAAGGCATGAAATACATGTCGTTCCTCAGGGACAAGCAACCAGTATGGATCTCTGACAGTGTGGATCCTTTGCTATACTGTTGCAATTAATTTGACAGAACTGATTGTTTAGGAGCATTGCCAAAAGACAACAGGGATTTAAGTGTTTGAGCTGTCAGCATGAAAGATAATCTCTCCTGTGCTTACAACAAAGCACAACTTAATACAAGTTCCCTACTCCTAAAGTAAGCCTGCTCATGGGGATTACTGATGTTTAGCGGGCCGATGTCTTTCCATTTATCAGTTTAATAAATAGAGAAGAAATAAAGACACATATAAAACATGCTGTACAACTCCTGTTGACAGGAGACATGCACATCTGAGTAAGCAGCAGCTCATTTCCTTATGCCAGTCACAGCTGGCAACTGCAGATGCACCTTTCTCTACCTTAGCAGTTTTGGGTCTTTTAAAATCAGTTAATCTCTAGAAGTTACCCATGGAGGTGCAGACCCATGTCTAGAACAGCTGCACTTTTCTTAGCTACTTGCCTGAGATAGAAAGCTGTTGATTAGAACCACTGGAATGCTTCTAAGCCACAAGATCAGGAAAAAAAAACCAAAAATCTTTTCTGATGCCACTTTTTCTTATCTACCTTTAAGTATAACGGGCTTGAGAGAGTACAAATGAGCATACACTGTGGAAATGCCTTTTTAAGGGAAATAATGGGTATTTAATTCATTTTTAAAAATGCAAATTTTTTAAGTACAGTGTATCTATTCTTATGCAAATATCTAGTTAAAATATTCCATCATACCTATAAAGATGTAAGGCCTAAATAACTTGAGACAATTTATCCTTCCCTTATACCCAGATATGGAAAGGAACACTTAATAATGATGAAAACATATCCTGCATACTTGCAAAGAACAGATAAAAATTATTCAAATTCAATTTTAGATGTCTGAATTCAACTTAATTTTGAGAAGTTCTGAAGATAAACATTTAATTTCCTTCCACAAAGAAAGAAGTCATGGATTCTGCATACTGAAAAGGTAGCGTTGTGTGGGAAACTGCTGCCTCTCTGAACTGTGCCAAATATCATTTCCACTTGCACCCCCATTTTCCTATCTAGTATGAAGAAATAAGTAAACAAGGCATGGGAAACCAGGAGAGCTGGGCAATGCCAGCACCCCTTTCCCATGCCTTCCTTGGTTATGGTTGAGGAACTGGGGTTGATGTAGATGGATAATTTAACATTATTTGCAATAAATATATGATAATTGATCATTCTGGAACTATCATGATGCTAGAGATGAAGAATTAGTTAATATCATGACAGTGTGTGGAGTTCTTCAGTCAGTTAGCATCCTGGCTTGTTAACTGAATTAGCTTTATTAACCTTAGCTAACTCAGACATGTCAGCTTTTCCTCTGCTCTCTTTATGTTAAATCTTTTGTTGAACAAGTATGTCCCTTTTTCATTAGCAAATGACCTTAGAATGCGCACTCTTTTGCAAAGGTCATTAAGGAGATTTAAGCAAAGACAATAAATTTGAAAGGTTTAGTCAAATAAAGCTTATTAGAGTCTGGAATTCCCCTGTGTGAAACATGCCATGCACGTTACTGCTCTGGTTGTGCTCCTGGAAGTTCAGAAATTGTAGAAAATTCTCCAAGGCCAAGAAATGATGTTTGGAATAAATTTCCAGGTTAAAAAAAAAAAGAAAAAGGCAAGCATAGGGAAACATGATATCCCTGGCTGTTGTATTTTAGATAATTCACAAAGCACTTCCTCTGGTGCATGATTTTACATGATAAAGCAATGCAGAGATGTGTTATGGCCCAAAGGGCTCTCCAGCAGAAGACTTTGCATATTGCTGGGGGAACTGGAACTCTTCCAGTATGCAGAGCATGGTATCATTGCCACTTGCTGCCACAGGACTAACAGGCTAGGGCTGTGAGGCTTTTGGTATTCTGTGGCAAAGAATATCAGAGGGAGCATGCAAAAAGAAAGGGAAAAAGTGGATGGATGCAATGCCTTATAGACCAATGAAGATTTTTACATTCCTCTTTGCTCTTGTTATAAAACTTCCTCTAAAATTCAGATGAATTTACAAAGCTGCCAGTATCAGGACATACTCCCAAACAGGCAGTCCCTGCCTTGCTCCTCTGGAGACTCCAGCTGACTGGAAGAGGTCTCATACAATCCCTGTGGCCAGCACAGTCATGTGCAAAAGCTATTTACAGGGAGGAGCAAAGGTCAGAAATTTAGGAAGCCTGGAGGAAATCTTCCCAGAAAATATTTGCAGTGTTGTATATACATCGTCCCTTGTCCACTGACGTGCATGAAAGAAAATGCTGTCAGGGTTGTCATTGAATTTAATAACTGTATTTTGCAATTCAGTCCCAGTGGACTTGAGAAGATCCTGAACAGACTTTTAGATCTGTACTGAATGTTCGCGTATTACAGCTTGAACTTTAATTTCCAGTTCTTTTAAGAACCAGCCAAACGAAAGAGATGTCATGTTGCAATACTTTCTTCTTTCCCATTTACTGCTAAATTTACGTGCGTAAAGGAAAGTGTGCGAATTTTGAGAGCAATCAATTTTTTGGGGTGCTATAGAAATAAAGGCACAATGAATGACAGATCCTGTTCCAAAGATTTTAAAACACAAGATTGATCATCATGAATTGACGAGAAACTCACCAGTGTTTAGATATGAAGAAAGGAGAAAAGTAGTTATCTGCAGTAATGAAGAAATGGACAAAACCAGAATTACTATGGAGCTTCATGGTCATTGAGCCCACACCACTATATTACGGACTTTTATTTTGTAACTGCTTATTTTGTACATGGAATGTGATGATTCAGTATTCCCCACACGAAAATGACCCTTGAAGGACATAATTTATTTAACAGTGGACAAGAAGAAAGGAGGTTAATTCCCTGACATTTTAGAAAGGTCATTTGTGAAAGGACAAGTTCACTTCCTGCAGGAAGGGGGATCTGACTGTGATGGACAAGAGGGAGCTGGGGCTTTCGTGAGAGGGCTCAGTCTGGCACAGTGACCACAGAGGATGGATGGGTAAAGGAAATGACAGCAAGAACCTAGATGCAGCCCCGCTAGCCAGAGACTGAAACTAGCAGAATAAAAAGCAACTCACCAGGGAATAAAATCAGTTTTAGGGAAAATGGGAAAATTTTCAGCTGATTAAAGGTGTGATTCTCAGGAAAGACATAGAAAAGTTGGGGTTTTTTTGATAGCAAATTTAGGGATTTTGCAGTTCCCTTAGACAGCTTTCATAGAAGTAGGCACATTAA